TGTGTCTTGGGCACCAGCATGGATACACTTGCTTCTTTAGGTTGATGGAATTTGTGATTTATCAGTCATCCCAGTAACAGGATACTGTGGTTACTGAGTGACTCAGTTGTGACCTTTAGTCACAGGCCAACATGAACCTGGATTAACTTTCAACATTGCAATATAGAAGCACTGTTAAGACATTATTTCAGAATGTAATCATCATCTAATTTTATTAGCCCTTTAAAATTATTAAGTGATATAGGGTTCCTTGGTGAGACAGTTTGGTGGTGAAAATATTTGCTGATGTTTCTGTCATTAGCTAACATAGTGCAGTGACAATGCAAATGGTTAACTGTTTTTGGACTTTTGCACTTTTCACGATATCCACCCCTACAGAATATTAAAAGACATATATTTTAATTTCTTGCATGTTCCTACACTTTTCTTTTGACTTAATCATTCAATTCGGTTGAATTACACATTACCATAAAAATTTGCAGTATTTACTCTGTTTCATTAGATTAATTTTACATAATGAAACATTGCGTATATTGTCTTGTTTTCTGATCTTCTTGAGATCTATCACTGTATCTGTCCAAAATCTGTAAGAAAAGATGCTGCAGCAGAGTTTGTTTTTGTTTTTGTTTTTATTTGCTGTAGGTACAACAACCAGTGGATGATAGTTGACTATAAGAATTTCATTCCAGGGAGTCCCAGTATTAAGGACGGATTATTTACTGTGCTTGAGCAAATACCGTAAGTTTCATAATTTGACACTCCATTGATATTTTCTGTAATCATCTCACACTCTACCTAATCTAATTATATACAGCGATCTGACTCTGCAGAGGTTTTCAATTCTACCAAATTAACATTTGACTTAACTTATTTATTGTCAAATGTTCTGTACATTCAGTGCTTCTTATGTGGCTTAGTTGCAGCCTCCATTACTGAAGTTCACTTAAGTGTGTAACCTAACATGGGTCTTTGTGTTCTGTGAGGCATGTTTAGGAGCCATTGGGTTATGATTTGTAACATGTTTTGGCTGTTTAAAAATGGTCTGCTTTAGGGCAGTGAACAGGGTACCATACAGGGCTTTATGATTAACAAGGGTTGAATCAGAGAGAAAATAGCAAAATTTCCATTTTTAGAATGGGGCTATCATTCTATTATCGATTTTATTAGTAATGTCGTAAATGCCTTTATTTGTTTATTTTTGTAGACAATGGTAAGTAAAATGGGATTGGCTGAAAAATTACAATAACATGCTTTTTGAATATTTCAAAACACTTTACTGGGAAAAGGAAAACTAAGAAGCCTTTAAAGACTTTCACTAAATAAACATAAAAACATAATACAGGAAATATACATATACATGGGTGCATCTATCAGGATTTGTTTCTTACTGTAGAAAAAGTACAATAGAGGAAGGCAGAATATGTATTATCATGCAGATTTACAAGTAATCTGCCAATTTATCAAGAGGATACATTTTAATCATTTATATATTTTTTATCAAACAACAACAACAACAACGTCATTATTATTATTATTATTATTATTATTATTATGTTTGTGTAAGTTACTTAAGTTTTTTTTATTACATATGTATATGTATAAATATTTTTTATCAAATTGAATAAAGCAATTATAACCCTATTCTGCAATATGCACTATTCTGAAGCCTTTTTTGCCTTTGTTCCAGAGGGATGATCCAGATCGCAGATAAAACTCAGGAGCTCTATAAGACTGGCTACTGGGCCAGCTACAATATCCCGTAAGTGAGGGGTGACGGGATGCAGCCATCAGGAATGTATGAAAGTATTAATTTAAAAATAGTCATTATTTGTTAAGGATCAATTGTTTTGTGGAGCTTTTCAGGTCTACATTTTTATCTGATCTGCTGGTTATGTATACAGGTGAATCATGTGTCCTGTACACACTCATTGGCCACTTTATTAGTGATATTTTCTAATGTGTGAGTAATCCTTTAACCCGCCATCAGTGGACAGTTTCTGACCACAGAGCTGGTATTTTCAAACTGTGATAAAAGGAAAATTACTATATACACACACACAGAAAAAAAGGAGATCTAAGGTGTGTCAAGAAGGGGGCGTTTACCATGACTACTACATGTAGTAGTCTTGGTTCAGTCTAGTTTCTTAGGCTACTAAAGAACTTGGTTATAGTGTAAACATAGTTAATGACTTGTGTTAAAAACCCCAGCAACCGATAATGAATGGGTTAAAGGGGGGGCTAATAACTTGTGTGTGACAACAGATGGGTCGGTTTTTATTGATTTATTTTTGTTAAGGTATTTTGAGGAGGTGTTTAATGCAAGTGGTGGCGAGGATCTGGTGAAGAAGTATGGCTCCTGGTTCTCCTACAGTGAGAATCCGAGGGCTCAGATATTCCGTCGGAACCAAACCCTCGTCACTGATATGGAATCCATGGTGCGATTGATGAGGTATGAACATTTTCTTTGATTATGCCTGCTTTCACAGCAATATCCAGCTTAGGCTTTGGCTTTATTGCCCTACCCTTCCTTATAAGGGTCAGCAATATAGCAAAAATAAAATGATGATACTTGAACACATTTTCACATTACACAATATGTGTCCTGATAATAAATATTTGTGACGGTTGCAAACAAACAACTGTTGCTATAGTAAGACCAGTGTTCTAGAAGTACCCACAATATACCCATAGAAGCTGATTGACAAATAATTTATCTCAATAATGATAACATATTATTAAATTGCCCATATGATGACTGACGCATCAATATTGTGTAGGTCCTTTTTTGGCCTTGATGATCACCTCACACTGCTTTTTCATACGTCCACAAAAATAAATGTACTGCATCCAGTGTACTCTCAATGTACTGATGTGAACAAGTCATCAGTAGTAGCTGGATTTCACTTTTCTGTATGTACCCTATCATAGTGTCATAAGATATTATTCAGTTAAGTCAGGGGATTGTGCTGAATTCTCCTTAACTTCTTCCGTTTTTTATTTATTTATTTATTTATTTTTTGCTCAATTGAGATCACAGGTGTCACTTACAATTTTATGGCACAGCAGTTACTTTGCACAGTATACTAGGTGTTTATTTTTATACACATATTACTCTAGGTACAATTTAAATCGAATTACAAATAAAATATGAACAAAATGATTGCAAAAAAAACATCTGCAAACAGAAAAATGAACTCTAAACCAACTGGCTGAGTGTGGTGCTGCAGAGCATTGTTGGGTACATAGCACACCAGTAAAAACATCAGTGTATTACACGCATCTGCACAATTCCTTTTGACCACCAGTGTGTAATATTTTTACGTTTATTTTGTGTTGCTTGCATTTTATTTCCTCCTGTCTTTCTCTTCTGTACAGATATAACAACTTTAAGAATGATCCCTTATCAGTATGTGAGGGCTGTGATCCTCCTCATAACGGTGAGAATGCAATCTCTGCGCGCTCCGATCTGAACCCAGCGAACGGCACGTACCCTTTTGGAGCTCTGAGACAGAGACCTCATGGTGGAACTGACATGAAGGCAAGTAATCGACTAGCAGTCAAAAACGTCACAAGTCTATAACTCTGCATAGGGTGGCCATGAAGCTCCCACCATTCTTTCTCTTTATCTGTTTATGTATTATTGAGTTCCCCTCCCCCTTAGTCTTGTATTACTCATAATGGTTTTGTCATTTCAGGGAAAAAAAAAGACAAACTAATGACAAGGGACAAGAAAATGGAGGCCGCAACAAAAAACCTGATAAATAAATGACATAATATGGGTGCACACTGTAAAATCAGTAGTTTAAAACCTACATGGAAACTTTGATTTTGCTATACACGTTAACATTGCTGCATTAGAATTGCTGGCTACAGTTTAGCATGACCTCGCCTCATACACATAATTTTTTAAATTGCAGGCCTACATCATACATACTGTTTCAACTATATCTGTACAGCACAACTATAATTCTAATGTTAAATAAATAAATACAGAAATAAAGTAATAAAAGGAGTTAGACACTTGATGGTGTCTTAATTGACCAAAAATACAACGGCTGAATAGGTGACTTGGGTGAGATAGTTTTAGGAGAAAATAAATTTAAAAAGCAAATACATTCATTTAACTGGTTTTTATCTTTCTGTTTCTGTAGGTGACCTCCTATGGCTTGTTCAAGCAATACGAGTTGCTGGCAGTCAGTGGGCCTACGTGGGACGAGGTGCCTGTGTTTGAATGGAGCACATCTCCTTACAGAGACTTGTTACACATAGGTCATCCAGACCGCTGGGACTTCCCCACTGTGCATGTCAGATGGTCAAAATAAATCTTCAGGTACACACAGAGTCACCAGTTTATTAGGTACATATCAGTTTATAGGGCACTCATTGTCCATTTTTAGGTGAACTTGGTAAGTTTACATCTATTGACTACATCCATCAGTTGCTGCACGGTTTATCAGCCCCCCGCAACGTCATCCGTCAACGGAAAAGGACTACCACAAGACCACCCCAGACCCTGATGTTATCTAGGGAGTTGCTGGGGTTCTGCACACTGATGGGCTAGTTAATAGACACATCCACCTTGCTGTTACGCTTTGCTGGTGTAGTTAGAGAATATAATTAATCTTTTCATGCACTTTTTATGTGGGGGACGGGAAACAACAGCACTGTTACACACTCATACTAGTCCACTCATGCTACCATGCCTGGTCTGCAGTGGTGGTGTGATGGTCTCTTTCCATTGATGCATGAGGTGATGGGTGGCTGATAAATTGTACAGAAACAGATGGGCTACAGTCCTTAACTGTAAACCTACAAACCTATATGGTGGGTGTTTCTGATGAAATGCCAAATAAGTGTAGGTACAAGATAGAATGAGCTAATAAACTGGCAACTTGGTGTAAGTGCTCCACGAAATGCAAAATGGCCTATAGAAAAATCACTATATAAAGAGTGTAACTTGCATTAATCAGTTTACATAAAAGCTGTAAAGATTTTAATTGTAAACATATGAATTCAAAGATCACAAATGTTATGCAATTTCTTGGAGAGCTATTTTTTTGTTTTGTTTTTTTATTTGTATCTTGGTGTTTTTTAAGATTTAAAGGGAAAAGTTGATTTGCACAAAGTGATTCATGCAGGGCCATGTATGTATGTATGTATGTATGCAGTGTGTAAAATTGTTTTTTTTTTTTTATGATTTTAGGAATAAATCTGTGAACCTGATTTGGAAAATAACAGTTTGCACATTTGCACACATGGTAGTTTTCTTGGTAAATTTCAAAATACATGTTTTGTTTTCAATTGTGTTTCATTTTGTCGTAACTGAGCTTAATTTTGCTAATAAAATGTGTTATTTTCAACAAACATACATATGTGGTGTCAGTGTTAAATGCATAACCATTAAATATATTACATTTTTGATACTAGTTAAGAAATTCACAGATTTTAATGAATCTAAATATCACTCCCTCAGTTAAGTCACCAATAAATGGTTTTTTGAGACTGAGAAGCAAAATCTGACATTACAGAAGTTCCAAAGTAGCCAAATATCAGTGTTTCTCTCCCTCTTCACACTGATGCAGTAATGCAGAATTTCAGGAATATTTTTGTTATTATAAGAGAGTGATGAAAAGCGCTCACAGGCTTTTGAGATATTAGTTAGTTTGATCTTCAACTTTATTGTAATTCTTATCCAAACCATCTACCTAGCTAGCTGTCTTTAATAAATGCAGTGTGCCAGTAGCTTTGTCATTAGCTAGGGAGTTTCCAGCTGACCATCATAACTCACACACGAAAAGGCATTTTTTCTTTAAAGATACAGACATGAGTGTCCACAGTTCAAGTCAGAAAATAAGGACTGAAAAGCATACAGTGATGGGAATATCCTAGACATATTCATCCTTGTTGTAGGCTTTACTCAGTTGTTTACTAGGGCTCTCCATCTTCTTGATTTCTTGAATGTCAGGAAGAGGTGAAGGTGTGTGTTCATATTCTGGTTTGCTTGGTCCCACCACGTCAGAAGAGGGCACTCCATATGCAGAGTACACAAGACTCTCTTGGTCAATCGGGCTGAAGGGACAGAGATTTTTTTTTCATTTTTGTGTACTGCCTGTATTGCATGGTGCTACATAAAACAATAATACCATGTCAATGTTACAATGGAACTGTACTGTAGAAATAAAGGTTCTGTGCAAACCCATTAGGTTTTAATCCTAATGGTCTAATGGTTTCTAATGGTCCTTTTTTCAGCATAACACATTTACGTTGGAAATGCAATTGCAAATACTCAATGTAATTAGCATTTTCAAAATTGCATTTGAATTAGAAATAAGTCCAGAGTAATGCTGCCAAACATACTTATATGAACAGCAGTTGCTGAAAAACCAAGCGAGTGCAACAAGCTATAAAAGTGAGTGATAGCCCTGCTGGAAAAAACAGAATAGACCATTTATTTATTTATTTATTTATTGGTTGATTGATTGATTGATTGATTGATTGGTTGGTTGGTTGGTTGTTGGTTGGTTGATTTTGTTTTCTTACAGCAGGGATTACTTTAAAAAGTTGTACATGTATACTGATACTGATTACTGAATTCTTTTTTCATCTAAATTTTTGTTTTAATCTTTTTCACATTTTTAAAGCCATGATTTTTATGCCTGTCTAGCAAATTCCAGCTAGAACGGTGACTATGGATCTCGTGACCACACGTAACGTTTACTTTGAAGGATGGTCACAAGAAGAAATATGGCTTTGCTGCTGGAGCAGCCGAGCAGAGCTTTTCCAGGCACGATGTGTGTTTTTATTTGCGTTTTAATTGTGTCTTTGGTTTCACCCGCGGCGACACAAGTGCGGTCTGCAGTTCTTAACAAGCAAACCGGAAAACTGGATCTGAAAGAAGGATTTCAACCGGACTTCGTTGCATTCGCGAACTTCACAGATGACATCCGTAACACCGGGTACGGTCGGTCCTGTAATGATACCTGTTAAAAACTCTTTCTGTGTTTTCGCATCTTACAGTTATATTTACAGGATTAACATTCAGCTGTGACACAGTCATGCGCTGTTGATGGCTGGAAACCCTGCTGATCTTCAGCTGCTGATGTTAAAATAGCTGTGTGTGCAGCAAAACAGTGTGTTCTCTGTATCTCTACGATTAGTTACATAACTAGATTTAGCGTTAAAGTATGGAGCCCTGCTGGTGACATCCCGTATAAATAAAATAATGCGTGGCCACTACTTAGTAAGAACGAGATAAGTCGTGGGAACGAGATAAGTCGTGGCTACGAGATCCTACTCTGTGGATGTGCCTCAATAAGGCGTGGGAACGAGAAAATAAAGCTGTGGCCACAACTAAGTAAGGTGTGGGGATGAGATCCTGTTGCGTGACCACTACTTAGTAAGGCGTGGGAACGAGATAATGCCTTATTAATGTGCCATATTAAAGTGATTCTGTGGCCATATAGGTTCTATGGAGCCCCGCTGGTGACATCCCATATAAATGAAAATAATGTGTGGCTATGCGTGGGAACGAGATCCCGATGCATGGCCACGACTTAGTAAGGCGTGGGAACAAGATCCCAATGCATGGCCACGGCTTAGTAAGGCGTTGGAACAAGATCCCAATGCATGGCCATGACTTACTAAGGCATGGGAACGAGATCCCGATGCATGGCCACAGCTTAGTAAGGTGTGGGAACAAGATCCTGATGCATGGTCACAATTTACTAAAGCGTGGGAACGAGATCCTGATGCATGGTCATGACTTAGTAAGGCGTGGGAACGAGATCCTGATGCATGGCCACAGTTTAGTAAGACATGGGAACTAAATCATTATGCGTGGCCATGACTTAATTATTTCGTTCCCACGCCTTACTAAGTCGTGGCCACACATTAAGATCTTGTTCCCACGCCTTACTAAGTCATGGCCATGCAATAGGATCTCGTTCCCATGTGTAAATATAGCATGGCCCTGCATTATTTTTCTTTATACACAATGTCGTCAGCGGGGCTCCGTACCTATGACCGTTTAAATTCTTGCAAAGTTTACTTGCCCTTTGCCGTCTCAGATATGGCACAAATTTTGTGAACTTTTACTCTTAAAGGGGAATTCCACCATTTTTTTTTCAAAACCATTGCTTAATTATGTAGTTAAGATGTTAACAAAGTCAGTTAGAGTAGTTTTCATGGTGGTGGTGATACGACCCAGACATCTTAAGAGTTTAATACCTCTGAAACCTCCTGTATAGAAAATTATTACTCAAAATGGCTATGAAAGTGCTGCCTGAGGCCTGAGACATTGTTTTACCACAGTTTGGAAATTAGAAAATTTCAGAAATTTTGAAAAATCGGTGGAATTCCCCATTAAGCACTTTCTGCATAGATTTGCATTTCATTTAAATGATTTGTTTGTGTGCTGTTTTTATTTTGCGTTGATTTCTAATTGTCAAAGTTGCATTCTGCATCTTTTTTAGCAATTTTTTATTAACTCTCCTTTTATACACTGTTAATGATAGTGTTATTTAACTTTAATCAACTCACTTGGAGGTTAAATGTTTAACTGTTATCCTGAAAACTTAAACAAACCTTATTGAGTAATATTATCTGTTGTATTTATTTCTTATTTTATTTTATACGCTTTGTCTTTAATTTTCTTCTGATGTTGTTTTTACTTTTACTCATATTAAGCACCTTGAAGTGCCTTTTTGTATGAAATATGCTATATACCTAAGCTTGTCCTGCCTTTCGTTTCCAGTTGGTCATACCTAGAGGTTGTTACTAATGGCAAGTACGATGACACACTGCAAGCTTACGGTGCGGGAGCTGTGGAGGCTGCGGTCACTTCTCAGGTATTTGATCCTAAACTTTCACCTCAGATTTCATATACTGTGAGCAGTGTAGCCTGATATGAAGCTATTATTGGTATAGTTTTACTAAGCAAAGTATACAGTAATGCACAGATCCTTAAACAGCAATAACCGTGGCCTTTGGTTTTAGAAATAAGGAAAGATAAAAGGGTGTGTTTCCTGCCCATGCTAAATCAGCAAGCTGTATAAATCACACAAGAAAAGATTCTTAAATCCGGATTCTTAGAGCTTCATGGAGGCTACTAATGACAGCTGTTGCAATGGCCCCGTGACCCTATGAAACTAGGGCTGCTCTGTGACTATTAGATGTATTAGATGTAGTATGAATTTATTATGTTACTTTCTAAACGATTCCTTAACTGTAACTCTTTAAAAGTATGTTCTGTAATTATATAAAAGGTAGGTAGTCCTAAATTTTACTACAGTCACCCCCCACAGATAAGACCAGTGATGTGGCAAAATGGTGCCCAAAATGTTTTGAGAATCGCCAGAGCAGCCAGTTATAACTGAGACTCTGAAGATACGATGGTCCTAGTAAATTAGGATGGTCCTAAGTGCTTTGAGAATCCAGCCCCAAACTTACAAGGCAAAACATGGATTCATCCACCTTCTATTTTTTTCACACTCATGTGTAATCATTCTATCACTGTGCCTCCAAAATAATTGGATATTTCAAGTGTGCCAGGCTGCATTGCAAGCCTGGCACACTTGAAATTCCAGTTAAAACATTGGGTGTGTGTCTGCAGAGATTGTATATTCACTAACCTTTTTGTTTGTGTTTGATTTGTAGCTGATCTTTAAGCACTGGGTGAACACAGTGATGGGATACTGTCGCCCGTTTAAGGACGATGCAACCTACTGTCGCCGCCTGAAAGAATATATTACCAACAATCTGCAATGGGTGGTACAGCAAATTGAGAAGAACCCAGACTCGTCATACTGGTATCAGGTAATATCTAACATTTCCTCATGTTATTGCTTGTGTTCTTTCAGCGGCATAGCCAGAACTTTGACAAAGCGGTGGCCAGGTTAGACCCTGTGATTCATTTGCAGTGGTAAACTGCTGGAAGAAAAGAAAGAAAAGGGGCAAAAGAGCCCTTAATAATATTCTTCTGTGAATATAGTAGGCCTAGGTTATTAAAATTACTTAAAGCGATGCGTTGAATTTATATAGTGCTTGGGTGAGTCTATATAAATTATCATTTGACATTACACTAACACAGTATGTAATATTATTGTGGAAATGAACACATTTGAATTATGTAAATTTAATTCAGCACTTTTTTAGCTGAATGCTTTACACTAGGGTGACACTGGCCACCCCTTGGTTACACCTATGGTTACTGTACCTGTAACCACATCTAGATCAACATGAATTAGGGATGTGCTGTAAGAAGATATGTTGTTATAAGGCACATGATGAACTTAACATTTTTACTGTCGCTGTGTTATGAGTTTCTGTGATAAAGGTCCACAATAACAGATTCATGAAGTCTGAAAGTTAAAATTACAGCTCCATTTAAATTACATTACTAGAATGAAATCTTTCATGCCATTGACGTGTGCACACTATGCAGTTGATGTAATTAGAGAAGACTTGCAGAGAGCTACAAGGTGCACACATGCGAGCATCTAAAGAGATACACTATTGTTACCCATTCACTGGCAGCATCGTATCAGCAAGTAATCCAGTTTGGGAAAAGACTTTGGGTGGCCTGAATAATCAAAGGCTCGTTCATTAAGTTGGTATTTAGTTCTCTATTTAGTATTCAGAAGCTTTTTAAACCACAAAAATGGTAGCCTAAAATAATCAGCTTAGTCCTGTACGTAGAATGGTTGTTGTTAATATATGGAAAAAGGTTAGAAACAAATAAATTATAGCTGGTGTAGTTAAATGCATCATGTCTGAGAGCACTTTAAATTATCAGGCGATAAGAAAAAAATGCTCAGTGAAAAATGTGAGAAGCGGTTGATACACCATGGAGGCAAAATACCCAACAACTTTATAGCACATTGTCTTTTATGTCCATATCTTGCAGACCTAGTGCCTCCAAGGCAGGACAGTCTTCATGTCTTCATGTAGCAAGCTTTAGCTCATTTGGATATCTTACTTAGATACATACCTTGAATATTCTCTGTTCTCTTTTAGGTCCACTTGTCTCTGCTGCAGCTGCAAGGTTTAGAAGACGGCTACAGCGGGCAGGTGACTTTTCCTGGGAGGCTCTCATTTGACCCCTTTCTGTGAGTAGTTTACAGGCATGGTCCTCTCTCTCTCTTGCTCTCTCCCATTCTGTCTCTCTCTGGACGAATCTCCTTCAAAAGTATATTACAGTATATCTTCCATCCATTCTATTGTTTTAATTTTATTTTTTATTCTCGTTCCTGTCAGTTGTAATGATTTCTTGATTGCTTTTATTAAACAAACCTGTACTTCTAATTTTATTTAAATATTGTTAAGCTGCAGTTTTTAGGTGCTATATAAAGTTATTATTATTATTATTATTATTATTATTATTATTATTATCACTATTATTATTAATGTTACTTTTTTGGTGTAGACTTATCCAGATGGCTGGAGACTTGGAGGATTTGGAGCCTGCCTTTAACAAATCCAGCCAATCACGTGCAATGGGCTCTGGCTCTTGCTCTGCTCTAATCAAGCTCTTGCCAGGAAACAAAGAGCTGCTTGTGTCACATGACACATGGAACAACTATCAGTCCATGCTGAGGATCATGAAGAAGTATAACTTTTCATTCCGCATGTCTCCGAAAGGTAATCATGTCCGTCGCGCTGTCCTTCTTACACATGCATGTATACAGTTACTCGAGGCTGATTCTCCTGCGAAGACGCATGTAAACGTATTTATGGATGAGCAAAGCTTGCAGTGGAATCTCCAGAACCATATGTGTAATGTATTAACTGTATATTTGAGTCAACAACATCATTGGGCTGTTATGAAAGTCTAGCTATGTTGAAAACAGGCAGCTTGTCCGCATTTGCAGAGTAGACAAAAATGTTAGCCAGAGCATGGGCAGTAGAGACAGGAGGTGTGTTTGGCTGAGGCACCGCCCATATTCATTATGGACACTTCCCCCTGTTCATGCAGGGAAGTGTGGATGATGACTGAATTTGACATCATTCATAATGTGAATGGATGGCAAATGCCAGTTAATGACTGATCAAACAACATTAGAGCTAACATTAGCAAATGAGCAGATTAGACATGTGCCATTATTTGGTAATTCATTATACCGCAATGTTAAACACTCATGGTAATCAGCTCTGCTTTCACAAGCTCCCGATTGTCATGGTCTGATCACATGATACAGTCCCTCTGAGCAGAGCTTGTGATTAATCAGAATAGCCACAGCACGGCAGAAGGAAGAGCAGGCAGAGAACTTTTTCTCCCTAAAAAAGGTGATATTCACAGCTCACCTACCTAAAAGAAGGAAAAAGTGCTCAATCTCACTGATTCTGCTTGTATATTTTCAGTCACAGACGTCTTGTGTGTGAAGTAAAAAGCACAGAAGTATACGGAACTTAACCTTACGTTAGAACCTGTTTAACAAGCAGCTCGGCAGACAGGTAGTGGGCTAACGTATTCCCCCTAGCAGAAATGATCATCTTATCATCTTTGCAGGTGTTTTTAATAAACAGAGGCTACTAATAAAGTAAAGGTTATCACATGAATCACGGTTCTATAATGACTGGAACGACATGTGCATGATCATTATATACGAAATAGTGCACTATGTGCTCTGAACTGTGTTTATGTGCTGAAAAGTGTCCACAATGGTAGATTGTCAGTTGCAGTCATTCAGCATGAAGGGAACTTTGTAGAACTGACAACACAAATGTCAAAAATCTGACTGGTTATTTAACTTGAAAGTTTAGTTTTGCTTGTACTTTGTTCACTTACATGGTTCTGGGCAGGATTAAACATTGCAGCCAGCTTTTAGAAGGGGTCAGAGACATTGAGTTCACTTTTCAACCGCAGTCATATATACAGTCATTGGCACACAGTTGTTCCCCCAGTGTCCCAATCATTTCAAAGACCTTTCAACTTTCTAACAGTTAAGCTGCACTAAACACATCACTGACCACTGTTTTGGCAGATAAGGCATTGATTCCTGGAGGCACTCAAGCTTTTTCCTCTTACCCCGGCTCCATCTTTTCAGGAGATGACTTCTACATCCTCAGCAGTGGTCTGGTGAGGTGTTAGCATACAAACAGTGATGAAAATAAGATGCAATTTTTTTGTTGGTGTGATTAACACAATGTACTGGTTAATCTGCTCAAATATATGAAAGAAATCTAAGCTTTCATTGAGGTAAAATTATGTAAGGCAAAGTATTATATTGTATTTTTTTGTTTGTTTTTTTCAGGTTACCTTGGAAACCACCATTGGTAACAGTAACCCTGACTTGTGGAAGTTTGTAACGCCTCAGAGTTCGGTCATGGAGTGGCTAAGAAACATAGTGGCCAACAGGCTTGCTCAAACAGGCAAAGAGTGGGCAGACATTTTCAGCCAATACAACAGTGGAACGTAAGACGTAATTAGGGGATACAAAGATTACATGTGGTCTTCCACGTTTTCTGTGGTTACTGATTGACTCCGTTGTGACCTTTTGTCAGAGGCCAACATGAACCTGGATAAACTTTCAACATAGCAATACAGAAGCACTGTTGATGATGATTACATTCTGAAACAATGCATTTAATTTTATCAGCCTTTAAAGTTATTATGTGATGTAGGGATCCTTGTTGAGACAGTTTGGTGGTAAAAAAAGGTTGCTGGTTTCCATCATTAGCTAACCTAGTGCAGTGAGAATGCAAATGGTTAATTGTTTTTGGACTTATCACGGTAGTCATAGTCAGGTTCACATCAATGAACAGTGGACAATGACCAGTGTACTGTCCACCCCTACAGAATACTAAAAGACATATTATTTTTGTCTTTTCACTTCCTGCGTGTTCCTACAGCTTTCCTTTAACTTAATCATTCAATTCAGTTGAATTACAACTTTGGCGTACAATTGCAGTATTTACTCTGTTTCATTAGATTAATTTTACATAATGAAACATTGCGTATATTGTCTTGTTTTCTGATCTTCTTGAGATCTATCACTGTATCTGACCAAAATCTGTAAGAAAAGATGCTGCAGCTGAGTTTGTTTTGTTTTTATTTGCTGTAGGTACAACAACCAGTGGATGATAGTTGACTATAAGAATTTCATTCCAGGGAGTCCCAGTATTGAGGAAGGATTATTTACTGTGCTTGAGCAAATACCGTAAGTGTGCCAGGTTTCGTAATTTGGCATTCCATTGATATTTGCAGCAATCATCTCGCAGTCTACCTTATCTAATCATCTATAGCGACTTTGCAGTGGGTGTTTTCAATTCCACCAAATTAACATTTGACTTTATTCATGTATTTTTTGTCTTACTTTTTGTTATACGTTCTGTACATTCAATGCTTCTTATATGGCTTAGCATGTAACCTAACGTGGGTCTTTGTGTTCTGTGAGGCATGTTTAGGAGCCATTGGGTTATGATTTGTAACATGCTTTGGCTGTTTAAAAATGGTCTGTTGTAAGGCTGCAAACAGGGTACCATACAGGGCTTTATGATTAACAAGGGTTGAATCAGAGAGAAAATAGCAAAATTTCCATTTTTAGAATGGGGCTATCATTCTATTATCGATTTTATTAGTAATGTCGTGAATGCCTTTATTTGTTAATTTTTATAAACAATAGCAAGTAAAATGGGCTTGGCTGAAAAATTACAATAACAGGCATTTTTGAAGATTTTAAAACACTTTACTGGAAAAGGGAAAACTAGGACGCCTTTAAAGACTTTTGCTAAATGAATATAAAAACATAACACAGGAAATATACATATGCATGGGTGCGTCTATCAGGTTTTGTTTCTTACTGTAGAGAAAGTACAGTAGAGGAATGCAGAATATGTAATCATGCAAATTTGCAAGTAATCATTGCCAATTTATCAAGAGGATACATTTTAATCATTTATATATTTTTATCAAATAACAACAAAACTACAATAATAATAATAATGTTGCATAGATTTTTTTTATAGTATGTATATGTATAAATGTTTTTATCAAATTGAATGAAGTAATTATAACCCTATTCTATAATATGCCCTGTTCTGAAGCCTTTTTGCCTTTGTTCCAGAGGGATGATCCATATTGCAGATAAAACTCAGGAGCTCTATAAGACTGGCTACTGGGCCAGCTACAATATCCCGTAAGTGAGGGGTGACGGGATGCAACCATCAGGAACGTATGAAAGTATTAATTTAAAAATAGTCATTATTGGTTAAGAATTTTTATCTGATCTGCTGGTTGTGTATACAGGTGAATCATGTGTCCTGTACACACTCGCTGGCCGCTTTTTTAGCAATATTTTCAAATGTGTAAAATATTAATAATCCTTTAACCCTTAATCAGTGGTCAGTTTCTGACCACAGAGCTGCGCTTGGCAGGATATTTTCTGTCAATCTAGCAGGTACATTAATTAAGTTAATTAAGAAAAAAACCCTCTTAACTTTTAATGCAACTTTATGTCACAAGATTTTATTCCAATTGTGTTTGGGCCATTTCTATTGCTGAATTTCAAATGATTTTATATTTATATATATACCGGTAACCGTATTTAATACTGTGAACTTTATTCACTGTTTCACTGTGGAAGAATGCAGTGAACCTCACAGGCCAGGCAATTATCAGGCAAACGGTAATGTGGAAAGAAACATGCCTTCCGCCAGAGCACCCCACAACAATCCTACCTAAAATCTTCACCTGTTCACTTGAAAGGCCCCAAGGCTATGGCGTGGGGTAGGACTAGCTAGCGTATATATTACAAATGTAGTTGGGTGCTACGTTAGGTGGCCCCGGGACGCGATCGCTTGTAACAGGGAACTCTCTCGACATCCACCCCCAGGACGCGATCGCTTGTAACGGGGATAGCCCTTGCGTTTAAAGTGGAACCCCAACACTATTCCCCCTTCCCTACAACCCCTCTTTACTCATTACTGCACTCTAGGCTGCTTGTGGGCTGCTCCTGTGAGGTGAAAGGCCTGTTTCTTTCTAGTATATTTTTGGCTCGTACATCCGTTCGCCAGGGTGTTATTTATTCCCTCACTATTCGGGATCACTGCCACTAGATTTCACATATCACTCATGGAAAAAGCAAGATGGCGTCAGTTCTTTGATGACGACAGATTTCATTCCGTATTCTGAAGTTTCATTCAGTATATTCAGAGTTTCATTCCATATTCTCAGGTTTCATTCCATATTGTCAGGTTTCATTCCATATATTCAGAGTTTCATTCCATATATTCAGACTTTCATTCCGTATATTCAGACTTTCATTCTGTATTCTGAAGTTTCATTCAATATATTCAGAGTTTCATTCCATATATTCAGATTTTACTACATGTACTAATCTTGGTTCAGTCTAGTTTCTTAGGCTACTAAAGAACTTGGTTATAGTGTAAACATAGTTAATGACTTGTGTTAAAAACCCCAGCAACTGATTAATGATGAATGGGTTAAAGGGGGTGCTAATAACTTGCATGACAACAGATGGGCCTGTTTTTACTGATTTATTTTTGTTAGGTATTTTGAGGAGGTGTTTAATGCAAGTGGTTATGCAGATCTGGTGAAGAAGTATGGCTCCTGGTTCTCCTACAGTGAGAATCCGAGGGCTCAGATATTCCGTCGGAACCAAACCCTCGTCACTGATATGGAATCCATGGTACGATTGATGAGGTATGAACATTTTCTTTGGTTATGCCTGCTTTCACAGTGAAATCAAAAGGCATTTTTGCTCTGTTCTTCCTTATAAGGGTCAGCAATGTAGCAAAAACAAAATCATGATACTTGAACACATTTTTACATTACATAATATGTGTCCTGATAAGAAATATTTGTCACGGGTTGCAATCAAACAACTACTGCTATAGTAAGACCAGTGTTCTAGAAGTACCCACAATATACCCATAGAAGCTGATTGACAAATAATTAATCACAATAATGATAATATATTGTTAAATTGCCCATATGATGACTGATGCATCAATATTGTGTAGGTCCTTTTTTGGCCTTGATGATCACCTCACACTGCTTTTTCATACGTCCACAAAAATAAATGTACTGCATCCAGTGTACTCTCAATGTACTGATGTGAACAAGTCATCAGTAGTAGCTGGATTTCACTTCTCTGTATATACCCTGTCATAGTGTCAAAAGATATCATTCATTTTTAAATCAGGTGATTGTGCTGAATTCTCCTTAACCTCTTCCGTTTTTTAATTTTTATTTTTTACACAATTGACATCACAGGTGTCACTTACAATTTTATAGCACAGCAGTTTTACAAGCAGTAATTACATTTATTAACTTCTTATATTATATTACAGTATACTATGTGCTTATTATTTTTGTTTACATATATTACTCTAGGTACAATTTAAATCGAATTACAAATAAAATATAAACAAAATGATTGCAAAAAAAACCCCATCTGCAAACAGAAAAATCAACTCGAAACCAACTGGCTGAGTGTGGTGCTGCAAAGCATCTGCACAATTCCTTTTGGCCACCAGTGTGTAATACTAATAATAATTTGTTTTATGTTGCATTTTATTTCCTCCTGTCTTTCTCTTCTGTACAGATATAACAACTTTAAGAATGATCCCTTATCAGTATGTGAGGGCTGTGATCCCCCTCATAACGGTGAGAATACAATCTCTGCCCGGTCCGATCTGAACCCAGCGAATGGCACGTACCCTTTTGAAGCTCTGGGTCAGAGACCTCATGGTGGAACTGACATGAAGGCAAGTAATCGACTAGCAGTCAAAAACGTCACAAGTCTATATCTGTGCTTAGGATGGCCATGAAGCTCCCACCATTCTTTCTCTTTATCTATTTAGGTATTATTAAGTCACCCCCCCCCTCCACCGTAATCTTGTATTACTCATAATGGTTTTGTTTTGTCATTTCAGAAAAAAAACGACAAACTAATGAGGGACAAAAAATGGAGCCCGGAACAAAAAAACTAATAAATAAATGACATAATATTTAAGGAGTTTAAGGAGAAAATAAATTTAAAAAGCAAATACATTCATTTAACTGTGTTTCTATCTTTCGGTTTCTGTAGGTGACCTCCTATGGCTTGTTCAAGCAATACGAGTTGCTGGCAGTCAGTGGGCCTACGTGGGACGAGGTGCCTGTGTTTGAATGGAGCACATCTCCTTACAGAGACTTGTTACACATAGGTCATCCAGACCGCTGGGACTTCCCCACTGTGCATGTCAGATGGTCAAAATAAATCTTCAGGTACACACAGAGTCACCAGTTTATTAGGTACATATCAACTTATTGGGCACTCATTGTCCATTTTTAGGTGAACTTGGTAAGTTTACATCTACTGACTACAGTCCATCAGTTGCTGCACAGTTTATCCGCCCCCCGCAACGTCATCCGTTAACGGAAAAGGACTACCACAAGACCACCCCAGACCCTGATGTTATTTAGGGAGTTGCTGGGGTTCTCCACACTGATGGGCTAGTTAATAGACACATCCACCTTGCTGTTACGCTTTGCTGGTGTAGTTAGAGAATATAATTAATCTTTTCATGCACTTTTTATGTGGGGGACGGGGAAACAACAACACTGTTGTGCCTTATACACTCATACTAGCCCACTCATGCTTCCATGCCTGGTCTGCAGTGGTGGTGTGATGGTCTCTTTCCACTGATGCATGAGGTGATGGGTGGCTGATAAATTGTACAGAAACAGATGGGCTACAGTCCTTAACTGTAAACCTACAAACCTATATGGTGGGTGTTTCTGATGAAATGCCAAATAAGTGTAGGTACAAGATAGATGGAGCTAATAAACTGGCAACTTGGTGTAAGTGCTCCACGAAATGCAATAGAATAGGACTCTAAAAAAAAAAAAATCACTATACAACGGGTATAACTTGCATTAATCAGTTTACATAAAAGCTGTAAAGATTTTAATTGTTTTTTTTTTTTTAAACATATGAATTCAAAGATCAATTTCTTGGAGAGCTATTTTTTTGTTTTGTTTTTTTTATTTGTATCTTGGTGTTTTTTAAGATTTAAAGGGAAAAGTTGATTTGCACAAAGTGATTCATGCAGGGCCCTGTATGTATGTATGTATGCAGTGTGTAAAATTGTTTTTTTTATGATTTTAGGAATGAATCTGTGAACTTGATTTGGAAAATAACAGTTTGCACATTTGCACATATGGTAGTTTTCTTGGTAAATTTCAAAATACATGTTTTGTTTTCAATTGTGTTTCATTTTGTTGCAACTGAGCTTAATTTTGCTAATAAAATGTGTTATTTTCAACAAACATACATATGTGGTGTCAGTGTAAAATGCATCTTGTGCATAACCATTAAATATATTACATTTTTGATACTAGTTAAGAAATTCACAGATTTTAATGAATCTAAATATCACTCCCTCCGTTAAGTCACCAATACATGGTTTTCTGAGACTGAGAAGCAAAATCTGACATTACAGAAGTTCCAAAGTAGCCAAATATCAGTGTTTCTCTCCCTCTTCACACTGATGCAGTAATGCAGAATTTCAGGAATATTTTTGTTATTACAAGAGAGTGATGAAAAGCGCTCACAGGCCTTTGAGATATTAGTTAGTTTGGTCTTCAACTTTATTGTAATTCTTATCCAAACCATCTACCTAGCTAGCTGTCTTTAATAAATGCAGTGTGCCAGTAGCTTTGTCATTGGCTAGGGAGTTTCCAGCTGACCATCATAACTCACACACGAAAAGGCATTTTTTCTTTAAAGATACAGACATGAGTGTCCACAGTTCAAGTCAGAAAATAAGGACTGAAAAGCATACAGTGATGGGAATATCCTAGACATATTCATCCTTGTTGTAGGCTTTACTCAGTTGTTTACTAGGGCTCTCCATCTTCTTGATTTCTTGAATGTCAGGAAGAGGTGAAGGTGTGTGTTCATATTCTGGTTTGCTTGGTCCCACCACGTCAGAAGAGGGCGCTCCATATGCAGAGTACACAAGACTCTCTTGGTCAGTCGGGCTGAAGGGACAGAGATTTTTTTTTATTTTTGTGTACTGCCTGTATTGCATGGTGCTACATAAAACAATAATACCATGTCAATGTTACAATGGAACTGTACTGTAGAAATAAAGGTTCTGTGCAGGTACATTTTTCGTTCATCAAGGTACAAACAATGTAGATGTTCCCTCAAAGGTACAACAGTGGTCCAACTATAAACCTTAAATAAGTTTTTCCAGGTGAAATGTTCATATTTGTACCTTTTTATAACCGAATGTTTTAAAACAGAACAATAAAATAAAAAACCTGTAGATGAGATGGGGTGTGTGGAGTCAGTTCAGTGAATTATGGTACAGTTTGTTCCCTGACTAAAGGTACTGAGATGTACACTTGAGGGTTCCACTCCAGTGACAGTTTCGTAACTTTTTTTTCTGAGAGTATATGTTCCCTGTATATATTTTTGATAACAGCCAAGTTGTGCCAAGGTTTTTTGTTCCCTCACTGAAAATCTAATGGGAAATAGCTTTATGTTTCCCTGTTGCCTTTATGTTCCCATATTTCCTGAACAATAACATAAGAGTAACAGCCACACTGCTGGTGCAAAACCTTTCCAACCTCTCCAAAATGGTAATTTTACAGAAGATAGCAAAATTGTTCTTTACTTTTAATGTAAATCAGTGTAATGACTTTTTTCAAAATATTATTGGAGATAAAAATCATTGGAACCATTTATGTTGGCCCATTCATCATGAAATTTATGCAATGTGAAGGGCAACTGGCTTTTTAAAATTATGTACGAAAAAAGGAAAAACAACAAAATTGGAGGTACAAAGTTTTGTTCCAATATTAATGATATTCTGATGTTGTATGTTCCATAAATAGTACCTGTAATTGGGATTATGTATGCGCTGCTTCCAAACAGATTCCGGTAACACTTTCTATGAATGTCACCTTTGCAAACATCTATAAACACATTCATAACATGTTATAATGCATTCATAAGACATTATAAACATAGCTATAAATATTTATAAAAATGCATTATACATTATAGCCATGTTTATTATGCATTATGAATTGTTAACATAATACATTATAAGTACTGATCATAACAAATTGTAAGAGCTCATAAGTCGTATTTGTCCGCTCTAAGTAAAGTGAAGCGTACTGTACTAAAGCCTCCTCCAGTGTTAAGAGTGAGGCTTCAAGTTGAAGTATTTACTGAAAGATTTACTGAAACACTAAAACTTTCACAGTAAAGCACATTACAGGCTTCAAATGTCAGAGTTTAAACTAGTGCTGCCATCAGTGTTTTACCCAATGTGGGAAAGGTAATGTACACCACCGTTAGCTTGGTATTTGTCTTTACTTTACACTCTCTAAGCTGGGAATGACTTCTTTGGCACTGACATTATAACATGTTATTAACCCTATTTATAATGCATTATATTAAAAATTCATGATGTATAATAAACATGGCTATAAAGTGTAATTCAGTGTAATTCTTTTTTATAAATATTTATAACCACGTTTATAATGCCTTATGAATACATTATAACATGTTATAAATGTGTTTATAGATGCTTACAAATGCGACATTCATAGAAAGTGTTACCCAGATTCCCTTATTGAAACACACCCTAACTGAAAAATTGTGAATATATCTTATTTGGACATTTGAATATTATCCAGTGAAAATGCAAGTAAGCCTCTCACACTTTATGTACAGCATATCAGAAGTTTTACCTTGACTTGCAGCCCTCCTGTCCTGCAAAGATGCTGTAGACGAGCCCCCCAATTAGGAGAAGAGAGGAGCCACCCCATCCAATGAACAGCGCTGCTCCAATCTCAAACCTGCCAAGCCAGCAAAGAGATTATAACCAAAAGAACTGCACAGCTCTGAAATATCTTCAAGTGGTGCTGAATCTCTTGTTGAATTAAGATTATTCTTTTTGAATCAAGTTGAATAAAAAAATACAAAATAATAACTGGCATCAACTGACTTCAATCCAAAATTCCTAATGTTTAAGTGACAATTTACAAAACAATGAAATTTATAGAATTTTGATTTTCTTCTTAAACCTAAAATATTCAGTGCAATTCTTTTCAATTCTACTCATATATGGACTAAAGCATAATTTGATAAACAGCTGTATCTCAGTCAGGTTAAGCAATTTGGCTGCACTTTTTTAATATGATTTATCAGCATGTAACAGAATCAAAGGATGACTGTGTACAGTGCTGTGTCGACGTATTTGCTCCTTTCCCAGTTTCTTCTATTTTTTGCACTTTTGTCACACTTGAATGTTTCAGATCTTCAAACTCTTTTTAATATTAGACAAATATATCACAAGTAAACAAAAAATGTTGTTTTCAATGATTTCATTTATTGAAGGAAAACTGCTGTTCAGTCCTATCTGGTCTTATGTGAAAACAGAAATTGCCCCCTTAGCTACTAAATCAACCAGTTAACCAAATTCAATTGACTATTGGGTTCAATTTCATCATCCAGACATGATCACTGCCAGACCTGCTGAATCTAAACATCACTTAAATAGAATCTGTCTGGCAATGTGAAGCAGCTAGAGGGTCTCAAAAAGCAGCGCAGGATGCCACATTCTAAATACATTCAAAAACAGATGCTAAACAAAGTCTGCCAGTCTGGAAAGGGTTACAAAGCCATTGCTAAGGCTCTGGGACTCAAGTGAACCACAGTGAAAGCCAGTATCCACAAATGGAGAAAACTTGGAACTGTGGTGAACCTTCCCAGCAGAGGCTGGCCAACCAATTTTCACCAAGAAGGCATCGATGACTCACCTAGGGGTCATCAATTAAAAAAACTGCAGACCTGACTTGCCTCAACTAAGGTCAATGTACACGATTCCACAATAAGAAAAACACCGGGCGAAAATGGCAACGATGGGAGAGTTACAAGGGGCAAACCATTGCTACAAGCCAAACGCTCGACTCGCATTTGCCAAAAAACATCATGACTTCCAAGATTTTGGGATAATATTCTGTGGACTGATGAGTCAAAGGTGGAACCTTTTGGAAGTTATGAGTCCCTATACATTTGATGTAAACCACACCACATTCCACCATAAGAACATCATACCAACAGTCAAACATGGTGGTGGTAGTGTGATGGTCTGGGGCCTGCTTTGCTTCTACAGGACCTGGATGTCATATTTGATGGAACAATGAATTCCGCTTTCTAGCAGAAAATCCTGAAGAAGAATATTTGCCCATCAGTTCTTGACCTAAAGCTCAAGTTGTGCAGCAGGACAATGATGTGAAACACACAAGCACGTCCATCTCTGACTCAAACAAAATTAAGGGTTTGGAGTGACCAAGGCCTGACTTGAATCCCATTGAAATCCCGTTAAGCAGGCAGTTCATGCTTGAAAACCCTCCACTGTAGCTGAATTAAAACAATTCTACAAAGAAGAGTGGGCCAAAATTCTCAAACAATGTAAAAGACTCATCACAAGTTATCGCAGGCATTTAATTGCAGTTTTTACTGCCAATGCTGGCACAACCAGTTATTATGTTTAGTTTTTCACATAGGTGATATATGTTTTGAAAAAAAAAACTTTATCTTCAATAAACGGAATGATCATTTAAAAGCGACATTTTGTGTTTACTCATGTTGTCTTTATCTTATATTAAAATTACTTGGATGATCTGAACCATTTATATGTGAAAAATTAGCAAAAATAGAAGAAATCAGATGGGGGCATATTCTTTTTTTTTTTTACAGCGCTGTACACCATATAGGTCAAATGAAATGAAATGAAAATTTAGCTACCAAAGGTCTTGGGAGGAGACAAAGCAGCTTACTTTTGTGTTGGGAAGGTGGGATTCAGGAACTCTGAAATAATTCTATTTCCATACCAGCTGAAAGCAAACATAGCACAAAGACCTGGAGAGGAAAGAGAATCATCCATATCCTGGCACAGCACACAAACATCAGAACTTCGCTCTGGGTATATTTCTCATATATATATATGAGAAATATTTACCTGATGCCAAGTAATTCATTCCTGCAGCAAAGGTAACCCTTGCATTTATGATGTCAGAACCTCCAAGTTTAGTACACTTCATCCCCACCAGGGCCAAAATGTCTCCAAAGAACCCCAGGAGTATGGAGGTGAATATTAGAGCTCGGCAGAAGTGGATGTACACTGTTTAACAGCAGACAATACAAGTGCATGTGAAAATTGATAACCAATATTGATATGTTTGGAGCAGTAGTTTAGCGTGTAACATGAAAGCAGATGATGCAGACAGACAGGCATGATGGATTTGCAAGTGTGGTTAATGGTGCCCTTTACATCCAGGATATAACCAGGATGGTTTTGTTCCAACAACAACAGTATGCTTTTTCACTAATCAGTGAAAATCGAGAAGCAAGAGAGAAAAGGAGAAAAGCGTAGAGGGAAAGAAGTACATTAGATTAGATTTCAACATGTATATTCAGCTGAAAATAAATATGTAAATAAATAGTTTAATCATCATTTAAATAAAATTAGACAAAGGAGAAATTGACAGTGGTGTAGTACACATATTAGCCAGTCTATTCACTCTGTGACGTAGGTCACTTTTCTGAAAAATGTACCTCACAAACATTTCAATCCTAGTTACAGCCCTGTACACACTTGCAGTCAGTTTCTAAAACAGTTATGTTTAGCAAATGCTTGTGAAAGACACTCCACCAAATGAGAGTCAAGTGCACAGTCTTACTCTGCAAAGATAACAAAGATGGAAAGTCCTTGCAGTCAGTCATCCCAGTCGAGTCAGACGTGCAGTCTTTCCAGAGGTTGGAAAACATGTGAGCGCTGGTAATGACTGTAGTACCCACTTCAGAGTAAGTCCAGTATTCTAGCGGCATGGTGGAACAAACCAAGATCCATCCGCAGACGCAGGTCACAAAGCAACCGATTTCCACATACATAACAACTGTTCTGTAATTCATGGCTGTTGTGAAGCAAACACAAGTAACTCCTGTCTTTGAGCAGAATAGAAAATGTGTTGACACTTTTCTCTAGCTGAAGTGCTTGTGTACGGTCATCACACAGCCGTGTCTTCTTCTGCTTTTCCATTGGCTTTGGTTTCAAGGTGAGTACAACAATCAGGTATGTTTATGGTGGACATATTGGCTGTAAACCACCAGCATGACTTCAGTCTAGTGTAGCTGAGCTCATCTTTCTGGTATGTTTCTAGAAGTTTGTGAATTAAGAGAGATTATGTTTTTGGTTAAAATGAACGTGTTGTGTTTATACTTTTGCTGAAATGAAGAAGAAAGTGTCATAAAAGGCTGACATTTTAAATAAATAATGAATGATTAATTTTTCCTTTATTAATTTATAATTAGCCCTTCCTGGATCGGGGCCTTGCTGTGGCGGAAGGGCTTGTGTGGTCTAGGGTTCTTCAGAGCTAAGTTGTCTGGAGCAATATGCTCCTGGTAGGGTCTTCCAAGATGAACAGGTCTGGAGTGAAGACCCAGACTAACTTGATCCAAAAATCCCCCATGACTAAAGGATGCAGGAAATCGTGTACCCTGCCCGGGAGATGGGTTACTGGGACCTACCCCTGGAGCCAGGCCTAGGGGTAGTGGTCCTCGGGGAGCACCTGGTGGCCGGGCAGCCCACGTAAATCGGCCGTGCTCAGCCTGAAAAGGCAATGTGAGGGGGTCCATGTGGGCCCACCACCCGCAAGGTCCAGCATGGGGGAGGGTCGCCTCAATGCGAATAAAAATTGCAGGCAGGAAACTCTGACTGTTGTGTGTGTTCTTAAGCACCAAAGAACAGTTCTGAACAATCGGCCTTCTTGGAGCGAGTGGGCGGGGTTCTGGAAAGGTGAAGAAAGGTGCTGAACTGTCAACCGATCACCATCTGGTGGTCAGTTGGACCAGATGGCAGGAAAGACTGATGGTCAGACCCGATGGGCCCAAGCAAATAGTGTGGGTGTGCTGGGAACGACTATCAGAGGCCCCTGTTCGGAATGATTTTAACTCCCACCTCCGGGAGAGCTTTTCTCATGTTCCAGAGAAGGTAGGGGACATGGAGTCTGAATGGAGCCTGTTCAAGACCTCCATCGTGGAAGCTGCCAGGTGCAGCTGTTGCCAAAGGCTTGTTGGTGCCTGTCAGTGCGGTAACCCAAGAACCCCCTGGTGGACATCGTGGTGAGGTGAGGCCGTCAAGCTGAAGAAAGAGGCCTTTAGGGACTTGATGGCCCGGAGGACTCCAGACTCAGCAGATAGGTACTGACAGGCAAAAAAGGCTCTCTGCTCTCCCAACAGCTACCGTGACTCTATCTGGACTAAGCAGTTAATGATGATGAATGAATGAATGAATTATCTTAAGAAAATTATTCATTTGTTCTAGCAAGCTAATTAGCTAAGTTACATGAGTGCCAACAAATAGCTTGTAATAACACAATTCTGACCAGAGTCAATGAAGAACCAGACCAGAGGATGACCTGCTGGAGAGGGGTTGACAAGCTCTGTTTGGAGGACACCAGCTGAGCTCCAGTGAAGGCAGCACTCAGTTCAAGCCGAGACCCGGACACCCCGCATGGAAGTTTGATATATGGTAATATATACCAACTGGTCACTTTATTAAGTACACCTCCTTTTATCTACAGACTTTGTCCATACTAACACCCCACCACCACGTCAGTGTCACTGCAGTGCTGAGAGTGATCCGCCACCCAAATAATATCTGCTCTGTTGTGGTCCTGTGAGGGTTCTGACCACTGAAGAACAGGACAACAAAGTCTGCAGAGAAACAGATGGACTACAGTCTGTAATTGTAGAACTACAAAGTGCACTGATATGATCAGTTGAGCTGATAAAATGGACAATGAGTGTAGAAACAAGGAGGTGGACTCAATGAAGTAGCGGGTTGGTGTGTTTACACTTAATCAAAATAATCAGGCATATATTGCAAAATATATGTATATATACAATACATGTACCTCTGTATTGCATCAAGTTATTGGCGTGCATGCATAATATATGGATCATACATGATCGACAGGTGGGTGAACACATTCAGCAGTTGTAATGTATAGTGTCGTGTGCTAAAGTTTAGGCACCCTGTTCAGAGTTCATGTTTTGTTGATTTTCTAAGTGAAAATAAATTAACTTTCTCTACAGACAGTGCATTTCAGAACAGTGTGATGCACAAATACTGTTTATTCATTTCTATGTAAAAGTTATGGCATGTCATACTATATGATTAATTGATTGATTGATTTATAATAAACTCAGTGAATAAATAGTAACTTAACTATTTGCACTTGCACTTGCATAATATAAGCTATGCAATGAGATGAAAGCCTTTAAATGAAAGTACAGTTTATCTGATGGGGACAGTTTTGGTGTCTACCAGGTCTTGCAGATGTTTGTTAGGAGTCACATTTTTTATGGAGCTTTTAATAATTAATAAAACTCCAGTTTTGGAAACTTCTGTTTTTTTTTTTTGCTTATTTTCCTTTGACATGCTCCTTCCTTATGCAAGTGGATTATTTTATATCTAGTCTCCTCAGAAACACCTCCTGACTTGTACTTAATGGCCATTTTTGACCATAAAACAAATAAATGAAGGGAGGTCTCTGGCTTTTGCACAGTACTGTACTTTAAAGAAAAAACCAATCAAGAAGTTACTTGCTTTTGCCTCATTTCAGTATCTTGCATGGTTCTTTATGCAGTCTGACCTAGTTTCCATCAGGAAATGTTGTAAATACAAACACTGATAATAATATCAATAGCAGTACTTCTGAGTGTGGACACTAGAATGAAAAATTTCCATTGCCTCATATGGGTGAGCCTTTTGAGGACATACATTATTGTAAATACAAAAGAGGTCCCCTGAACTTTTGGAACCGATGTTTTTTGTTTTGCACACCTCAGTGTTACAGTATCTGAGAATGTGGTGCTGTATCATATATTTACCATTGTAACACTGTATTTAACACTGTATCTTCCTTATAGAAAATAATACAAAAAGCGAGAAAGCAATTAAATGTATAGGAATATACTTCACGCTTCATCTGCATCTTATTATTATTGTGATTGAATTAATGTTTCCCACAAAAAATAGCTCATTTAATACTTGAATTTCATGCTAAAACCTCTCTTATTCAGATGCTGCTATGCTGCATCAGGCCTAGAGACAAGGAGTCATTTAGTGGGACCTGTTTTTTGGTGTGGTGTACCGAGGTGAAAAAAGTTCAACTCAAAGTGGTCAAGTAGTGTTTGATTTTTCTGACCAATCAGATTAACATCAAGGCAGGCCTTCTATTGAGTTACATTCTATTTGTTAATGTGACTCAAATATAAGGTAGCATAACGACTAATACTCAGCTAGCTAGCCTGCTAATGTGGCCATTTATTTACGAGGTAAATATTTTGGCCATCTAGATCACATAATGAAAGTGGTCATTTAGCATTTCTGATGCAATAGCAACTTTTGACAAGTGTTTGACAGTTTGCTTTGTAGTCTCTGCCTTGTCAGAAAGTTTCTTTGGATTCCTGCATGTTATGTCACAAGTTGATGGTAGTTTCAAAATCAAAAGTAACGTTAAAAGGAGGTGTGTTTTTTTCATGGTGTGATTGGATTACTTTTTAGAAAATGTCAAAGCCAGATTTTGATCCATTTTCCAGACTGTTCTTCGTAGATGTTCTTGCTCTTCATAGACATGGTATGATCTGTATTGAAGAAAATGAATGTCATAGGTTTAAAGAACTTTAAGGTGCAAATAAACAGTTTTTTTAATGGGGAAATATGAAAAAACTGTATGTGGGAGTGAGAGAATCTATAAATAATATAAAAATTGATGCTGTTAACTTAGTTTGCCAACATTAGCAAGTGCGCTGTGTGAACCTGCTACAGGGTTCTGTGTGGCGACTGTGTTGATCAGATTTAACATTTTTTAGTGTACACGTTAACACTGCTGACATTAGTTGCCAAACACTGAAGTAATAAACAGTCATATCTGTTTGCTTACACAGCAATACAGTTGAAGTTTTGGTTTTTATGTCAGCTGCATCGAACTGTGAAGCTGCAGAAGCTATTTTGTTTCTCTTAGACAGAAAAACAAGCGATGTCACCATCACAATGTCTCCCCATCATTACACACAACCATGACTCATTCTTTAAACTCATTGAGTCACTCACACACACACACACACACACACACACGTTCCTTGTTTGGCCTTTGCTTAGTGAAGTCTCTGTGTAATTACCTTGGTTCTGAGCTGTTTTGTTTGTATAGTGTTTCCCTGTATTTGACCCCAGCTTAGTTTGCTGTTTTTTGCTGATGGATTTGCCTTGAGTGAACCTGCCTGACTTTTCTCTCACCTCGGCCTGTTGTGACTACTAGTGTTGGATTCCCCCTGATAAAGCTACTCTACACATGCAGCCTGCCAACAAGCACCTTTTGTTACAGTCACATGATACAGATCAATATTGAGTGTTTCTGACTTCAAATGTGGTTTAGCCAATCAAATTTCAGTAAAGAGGGTATGCACTGACCTCACTTTCCTTTCCGAATACACCCCCTCAGTCAGACTGAGAGGTTAAACATTCGCAACATTTCTGCGTTTATTAGGGGAAATGCTGAAAACAGGAATTAAACAAGCGATTATCAGCCTAACCCCTTAAAATCCCAGGCTTGTAACATACTAAGGCTTATTTTTCAGTAAGTACAAGGACTTCAGTGCAACCTGGCTGAGATATTCTTAAGTGTTAAATAAAACTGGGCTTGCCGGTAGGCCCTGGTCATTTAAAGGGTTAAATTAAATGCAGTTAGACTCGACAGCAATCTATCCAAATTATCAAAGAAACAGTGATCCGTATACATTGATGCATGGCTAGGAATCGGTTTTCCTGACGTTGATAAGTACCACACTTCTTCACCATTGAAATTCACTAAGCAAAGCATGCAAAAGCCTTGACGCTTGGTCGTACTTCAAGGCAGGATCTGTTGGGTGAAATTAAACTGACCAGGTTACCAATGGATATTCTTGTTGCATGTGGACAGGTTTGTACAAATATTTGTATTTTATTGCAATGTTTATTTAGAAAACTGTAATCTAGCTAGGCCTACTTTCATAGCTAACACTGTCAGTAAAGTTATATATCTAATTATTGAATGAGCACCACTTGAAACCTTGGATAGCTACAGAGAAGACAGGGACAGTTTTGGCCGTCCATTGTACATGTATGGCAGGAGAGACGTTCACACGCAGCAGCAAAGTTTTGTAGATATGTCCGAAGTGAGAATGAGCGATGACACACCATGTACTTCATTGCCATGTCAGTGGCTTCAGCCACCACAAAGAAAATCTACTGCTCTGAACTGTCTTCTGTGGAGTAGAAAGGTTTTACATCTAGTGGACCTGAACTTTCCCCTTTTAGATGTTTTTGTGTTTTTATGGCATTGACATGGAACACTAACGCTGCTACTCTCCACTGACTCCAGCCAACTGTAACGTCACCTGCATGCCCTCTGTTAGAGCTATTCATTTCATAAAGGGTAGTTTGATAGAATCAATACAATTAAGTGAGTCATAATGCTTGTGCTTCACAAATGCATTCCTATGTACAAATGAAGTGACTTTATTGTTGAAAACATAAACACACAAAATTGCAGAACACATAACAGAAGCTTTCTCTTAGCTTGGCAGGTAGTCTGTTTCGCCGGGGATCATTTCTCAAGTCCAACCTGCTTTATGTGGACAGCTAGGAAAAAATGTTAAATATTATAAAACCAATATTTATTTTCAGGAACGTTTCAACCTGTGATATATTTCGCTGATGTGATATATTTATTATACTTACGCTACTTTAAAAAAATCATACGGAACAATATAGTTACTGTCATATCAGAATCTGATGTCCTGATTTTTTTTTTATTTTACAACTTTTTAAAAAATGCCAGTTGTCCTTTACATTGCATGAACACTTCATGACAAATGAACCAATAAAAAAGAATCTAAAGTTAAAATAAAATAAAATGTCATTAGATTAACAATTATTACAGTTAAGAATGTTTTCCATTCTTCCATGCAAGGTTTTGTTCTGAAAGTGATGATATGAGTATTAATCAATTAAAACCATTACTATGTAAACAAACAGGTGGATGAAAAGTCCATGATTGCAGGATGACTGTGCTACACTATTATTTTCAATGTTCAGGATATGAAAAATGATTTAACATTCAAACAAAATCATCTCTGTCAGACATTTCTGTAATATGAGAAACTCTGGACACATGACCGCTTAACTTGCTTAAGGGCCTTGAGAGATCGGAGTGAATTGATGCTGTGTGGTCATCATTGTATAATGTTCTACTTTTGGCCAGTGGAACGTAACTCTTAGCGGTCATGGGCTTTCTCGGCATGGATGCGTCCAACTCTCTACAAAAAAAAAGCACCTCAGTTTATGCATATGTGAACAAAATAATAAGGGTTCCATGTCTATAACATATATAGTTACTAATTAAGAACCAAATGAAATGTGATGTGGTTGTGTCTTGTAAATGTGTTGCCTGTGTGTCTTTTACCTCTTTGGTACGATGATTCTGTAGACAGTCACAAGATATAAAACAGAGCCCAGGATTATGCAAAAGCTGCCTACAAAACCAAGGTATACTGGAGGCCCTATTTGATACCTATAAAAGAAATAAGATAAATTGCAAATGAAACATTAAAAGGAAGAAAAGTGACAAATAAATAGGCCCACAACATGAATATACATTCTACTCTCTTGTGTTAACTTTTTTTTGTGATCACACAGTAAACTTAATTCAATTATTTTACCATCATGGTCTTTAAACCGTATTCCAGGCCCCCTAGTGGCCATTTTTCTGGATGAATGAAAATTGACTCATATAATAAATTTGACAGGGTACAGGCATTGGATTCACAAATCTAGTGGTGTGCGCAGTGTTGTTGTTCATAATGCTGCCTATTTACTAATAATGATTTAAAAAGGTAATTTATTATATTTACCACAGTAAACAAACATTAATAATTATAAACAGGGTTCAATACCTCAGGATGCCTTTTGATGACATGCGTGCAAACGCTGCTCTTCCTAATCTAATTGTGAATAAGCAATAACCAGCTGCATCGGCCACACCTTCAGGAGACAATACAGAATGTCAAACGGTGAGAAAATAAAACAAAAAACACATAGAAAAAAAGCTTTTTATGAATAAATGAAATTTCATACCTCCAAGAAAATGAAAAAGTGCTCCTGTCAATAATATTATATCATTGGTTCTCTCACTTCCACCAATGTATGTACAGTCCATCCCAATAAAGCAAAATATCGCAGCAAATAAGCCTAGAGCCATTCCACACAGCACCAAACCTCGCACAGTCTGGATATATCCTGTTCAGAAAGGAAGACAATAATCAGATGCAAACAGTGTGAAATTCACAGGTCAGTACAGTGAGTCAGTTGACCTATTCATGTGTTCTTTTATAGCTACTGTTGCTAGATTATACAAGCTTTACAGAACCTAATGACAAACTGTAATGGATTTCATTTCATTTCCCGGATTCTTCAGTTCACCTTAGCATTAACCCACCTGCTGCTGTTGGCAGTCATTTCATCAAGTTTATCGACTCTAGATAGGGCAGAACAGATCACTGCCTAATGGGGGTAAAGGTAACTTGGATTTTGTATGTAGTTAAACAGGTTCAAGTAGAACCTGCTTTTAGTCATCTTTTCGTATTACCACAGCAACATCATCTGTGGATTTTGACAGCGAATGGACAGATACTTCTCCAGATTCAAGTGTTTAGACCTCACAGGATGAGCTAGACAGGCAAGTACAGCTTTCACATGAAGGTTTTAACCACGAGAGATGTCCCTATCCCTCCATCTGAATTTTAAACACTTTATTTTTGGACGTTTTATGCAAAGTAAACAAAAATGTAAATAAAATATTACATTTTAGCTTATAATATTTCGTCCCACTTTATACTGTGTCCTTAATAACTGTGTAGTTACACATTAAAAAAATACATGCAACAACAATGTCACTACTGCTGAACAGTGTTCACTGTTACAGACAGAGTACAGCAGTACAGCTTATGTAAATAAACATGTGTATCAACTTCAGATTTTACTCAGGTAATTATGAAAGTGTATCTTGGTAGTTATAACAGCATATTTGATGATACCTGATGATACTGCTGCTGCACAGCCATTGCTTCACCTGCTTTTCCCCTTTTCTGTATTTTTAATATTTACACTCATGTTAAAACCTTATACTCTGTTCATATTGCTCTTGTGCTACTGTTTGCTATCTGTTGTGGACCAGAGGAGGATGGGTTCCCCTTTTGAGTCTTGTGTCCTCTGAAGGTTTCTTCTTCTTGCTTTTAAGGAGTTTTTCCTCGCCATTGTTGTTACTGGCAACGATTATAGGGGCTTGGATCTGGATTTTTCTGTAAAGCTGCTTTGTGACCACGCCTGTCGCCATATAAATGAACTTTGACTTGACTTGACTCAACATATTTCTGCATATGTAATCACACATAAAAGTGTGTAACAGTGAAGGTAATTGCATTTGTATGAACTGCTGTTTTTCCAACAAGATGTTTCTGATTATAACAAGAGATGTGTGTAATTATCTTCCCTATGAGGGCAAATGCCAATTTTTCTAACATTTAGCTAGCTGCAGTAGTTTGTTTGTGTTGTGACATGGTAACCAAAGTTCTTGCTTTAAAACATTCTGTATTGTGACTGTTTTATTCAGTGAGGGCAGATGACCATTTATCTTATCATATTTACTTTTAAATATGTGTTATTGATTGGTATAAATCAATGTAATTTGATCAGGTTACCACATTACAGCAGAAACATTCCACAATAACTATGCAAAAGCTGCACTTTCAAGTAAGTGGACAGTTCCTCTGTAGTTGTTAAGTTACTTTTAAACATGACTGTGTACTATGACTTATATGTTTATGTGTTTAGATTGGATAGTTTGTCTAGTTCAAACAACATACATCTGTTTAATATTAACTGTACTTGCATTTTTTTTTACCAGACTTTTTATCAACTGTTACAACCAGATTGTTAAAGCAACTTTTTCACTCTTGCTTGAATTTCTCATAAACTGGAAGTTTAAAGTTTGTAGAAATGTGTACTTTTATTATTTAGGAAAAAACAAAGTGTTAGCTCTTTTGTAGTGGTCTCCAACCATGCTCTTCAGCTACCTTCCTACAGAGCCTAGTTCCAACCACAATTCGCCACACCTGCTCCAGCTTATCAACCTCTTCCCAAGTCCCTGATTGGCTGGATCAGATTTATAGAGTTAAGTAAGGGCAGAGCAGCTTATTGGATACAGGTTGGAAGTAAACTCTGCAGCAAGGTAGCACTCCAGGACCAGGGTTGGAGACCACTGGTCTACTGCATGAAGAAATGATATAACAGCACACAAAAAAGACATTACTGAAGTATTACAGGTACAGTACCTCCAAAGCTACATGATGATACATGAAAACATTTTCCCAATATACAAGATCTCTAGTTTTCTGAGGTCTGTGGACAAGTTGGACAAAATGCAGCAGCAAAACTGTAGTGCCCAGAAATGAAAAAGACTATGAAAACTGAGCACAATGTTATATTTTTTTTCAAACAATTCAAGAAGCAAAATTAATAAAATAATCTGTAAAAATTAATTAATAAAATGACCAGCTGCTTGTTCCTATCACTACTGCTATTGGTAAATATGTTAAGTTAATAATGTCTTTTGTTGTTTGCTTAAATATGACCCTAAAGAAAAAATATTTGCATTTATAGCTATATGAGTAAACAAACCAAGCTTCATCAGAATGTATTTTTTTCACTTTTAATTCAATGACATTATTTCATTGTGTGAGTTTACATGAACCTGTACATGAAAACCACATGGTTTCCCCAGAGTGAACACAGTGTCCAATTTTTATCACTGATGTCCAGTGAGAGCAACAGTGGCTGCATGTTTGAACCAATAAGTGTATATGTCATTTATGTTATATATATAGTCAATGGTTTCAACTCTTCCATGATTATAGCCTCTCAATCTCGTTCATACAGATTGTGGATTCTTGTTACAGTGGAGGCTCTTGAGGGCAACTGGAGTTCCACTTTGTTGGTTCTTTTGTTAGTTTACCGCTCGTTGATTTATCCATAGTTCTTCAACAAGCCCTGCCCAGCACAGTCTTCTAAGATATATCTTTAAAAGCCATTTGAAAGCAGTATTTAAGTGAGAAGGCTACGATTGTGGGGCCACTGTTTTATTACACATTTCCATGACCTAAGAATAGCTCATTGAGTTGAAGTCCCTGTAGTGACTGAATAATTAGGCTTAGTGTATAATACGCCTGGGATTTTAAGGGGTTAACTTAGACAGCACTAGATGCATGCAGTTGTTCATGTGTTCATATACTCAAAAAAGTATATCACCACAATTGTACGCTCTTTTGTTAGTTTTCAACAGAAGAAAACTGTGGTTCATTTTACCTCTTTCAGCCGTATTTTTGGGGTTGATAACCCACAGGACGTCATATTCCCTGCAGTTGTCAACAGCTGTTGTATCCGTATAGCAGTCCCTCCAGAGGGTGGTCCAGTACCATGCTGCCTTGATGACCCAGGAGCCTCCTTGTCCACCTATGTAGGTAAACCTCCAGTAGTTCATTGCCAGTGTGCAGCACACAAAGAACCAACCAGTGGTGGAGATCAAGAACCCCATCACTTGCATGACAGTTTTCTTCATTGTAATGTCTAATTTTTGGTCTGGACCATACGTTCTCCTCCTTTACCAGTGATGTTGTGACAATACCCTGTGAATGTTTCTCTCTGTCGACTGATGAGAACAACAGGTTTAAACCCGATAGGACATGGCTTGGTGAGCGTATGTGTTTATGAAACTCCTCTAAGGAAAGAAAAGTGAGCACAGCATGTATTTTGTTGTCAGGCTCATCATGAAGCTTGTTTACTGTAAATTCCCAACAGCATGCACCCAATGTATAATGAAGGTACCCTTACAATGACCTTGCTTATCTCTGAAATAGTATCACAATAAACACAGAGTAAAGACAGTTTGTATTTTCTGATGTTGGGGTCCAGTGAACCGTAGAGATGGCACTTTTTCTTTTCCAGCATTGATACTGAAAGCTCAAGCCTTGGCTAACGCTGATAGCAATCTGATGTTTTTTCTGTAGAAAACTACATTGAAGTGCATAACACGACCATCTAACTATGATCAAACTCCTCAAACACTGGACTACACTACGGGCAGTAATACATAGCCAACAACATGAATAATACATCTACCTTAACTGGCGTTTGTGGATGCAGCAATGTACAGTGCTTATTGACAATGGTTTTAAAAGTATTCCATTATTCTCATTTGGTTTAACTTTTTTTTCACACAAATATCACAATGCAAATGTTTAAAATTACTCAATTAAAAAAAAATTATTAAAAATATTAATATCTATGCAAGCTAAGGAATTCTAAAAATAAACTCAAAAAAGATGGTTCTTTAAAAGGAAAATGGTTCTATATAGAACCATGAACACGTAAAGAACACTTTGCATGTTTTAAGGTTTCTTTGCATCATAAAAGCGTTCTTCATATTGATGGAGAATGTGCTGTAGGTTTTATATAGAAGCTTTATTGAAAATGGTTTCATATATGATCCAAAAGGGTTCTTCTATGGTTATGGTGCCAAGCTTTTAACAATAGAAGAACTCTTTGATGCTATATAGAACCCATTTCAAAAAGAACTGTCCATAGCACCTTCGTGCACATTTTCCATGAATCTAAATAACTCTTTCTTGATGTAAAGAACCCTTTAATCATACAATAGGTTCTTTGAGTGTTCATGGATCTATATAGAACCATTTTCCTGAATAAAGAACCCTTGAAAGCCACCTTTTTAAGGAATGTATTCAGTGTCAGATTTGTTGTGAAATCTGATCGCATTCGTTCATATTCATACTTTTCTTCTGAGATCCAATCCAGCAGCAGTTTCTCCAAATTTGATTGTGAATAAAAGTATGAAATTTACATGTATTGTTAGATGCTCAATCATGACATATAGATATTAAATAGTTCATCATGTTAAACCAAGCTGAACATTTAGCTTTCTGGGTGGTTGGTGGGGCTGGGGGTAGGGGAGGGGTCGGCGTAGGTAGTTGATCATTGCAGTATAATGAATGGGAACACTTTATTTTGATGGTCCACTGTAGATGCTTGAATGAATGAAAGGTTCTGTTACACCTAACCCTAAACTGACCATCAACTGACCAAAACCTACATCTAAACCTCCTGGAGGTTTGTTAACATTTTAAGCATTTGTAAATCATCTATAAGGGCCGTCAAAATAAAGTGTGCCCAAATGAACAACTTAGCAAACTAATTAGAGCATAATGATTAGTAAGCTAATATTTTTATGCTACGTTAGATATTTGCTCTATTAGCTAGTAATCATTTACCTATTTGACTTTTTGGTTGTTTTCCAAAAGGGTACTAATCGTCCTAATGGTCACTGTCCAGTAGATGAATTAAGCTGGATTACAGGAATATTAAAGGTTAGTATAAAGTAAATAAACTAAATATTTAAGCTATGTGTTCTTTTGACCTGTTGGTCTCAGGTGTTTTAAGTACAATAACAATACAGTGAAAAGATCACAAATGATTTACAGGCTGGACACGCTTGGGAGAGCGTTTTTGACCAACTCTGACCACTTTGAACAGGAATGCAGCATTTGGCTCCACTGGACACTTGTGTTAAGTCCACAGTGTCTATTATACAGTTTTATGTTTTATGCTGTATTTAAATTAGTACATATTCTTTTCTTCATTGTAACAGTATTATTGATATTAACATTATCATTACTATTATTTGCAAACTCAATAAAAACAGTATATTAAGAGTAAGTGGAAGAAAGAAGGCAAAACATTATTTCAAAGTAAATATCAATGTATTATCACATTATCAATATAATAACAGCAGTAAAGTTCTACTCGACAGATTAAGACAGAAGGAAGTAGAAGTAAACTCTAAACTAGCTAAACATGACAATAATAAAACACATATTATCCTCTGTGTTGGAGAACATTTGCATTCAGAATTTACTTTTACATCAATGATCAAGTAATGAAAAGCATAACACATCAAACAGCTTTACAGTATTTTACAGTCAGAATTTCAGTCATTCAGCCAAAAGCCACATTTCTACTTACTGAACAAGGAACCAAAAGCCTACAGTACATGATCTGCCTTGATCAAATGCAAAGAACATGATAATAAACAAATAAATAAAGAACAAAGTTGTCCAGTTCTCTTATATTGTAATATCTTAATATATCAAGGCTATAAATCTACCTGCTCAGAGTTTTAATTCTTTTTACGGATAACCATGCAGCTGTAGAGGTTGGTTGATAAGATATTGAGGGCTGAGTTTGGTCTTCAAGAAAAGCCAAAGTTCTACAAATATGCACGTAGTATGATTTACAAATATAAAGTGTGATTTTCAAAAATGAACACCTCCAAATATAAATAACAATTTGCAAAAAATGAACTTGTTCATTGAACACTGTTAGAAATAAAGGTTCTGTTCAGGTACACTTTTCGTTCATCGAGGTACAAACAGTGTAAATGTTTCCTCAAAGGTACAACAGTGGGTTTAAGGTCTGATTGTGAACCTTAAATAAGTTTTTCCAGGTGAAAAGTTCGTATTTGTACCTTTTCATAACCGAATGTTTTAAAACAGAACAGTAAAATAAAGTCCTGGAGGCAAGACGGGGTGTGTGGAGTCAGTACAGCTTAGAACATATCATTTCAGTGGATTATGGTTCAGTTATGTTCCCTGACTAAAGGTGCTGAGATGTACCCATTGAGGGTCCCACCCCAGTGACAAGAGGGGAACTGCCCCAGTGACAGTTCACTACCTTTATTTCTGAGAGTGTATAAATGTCCTGTTCATTAAATACGTACACAGTAATTGTTAACGGGACACAATTAAAAAAAAACAAACAAACAAAATATTGAAAAATATATAAAACAGAAAACTGCAATTAATTAAGACTTTTTACAGAGATTGTATTTGCAGATGCAGATTTATATTTGTTTATGTTAAGTTGCAAATTGTATTATTTAAATTTGCATCTTAAGTCTGGAGAATACAATACAATACAATAATACAATAATATTCCTTTTAACAGCACTTAATAAACGATTAGAAACTGAAGACACCAAATGATCCAGTATTGAAAGTGGAATTTGGTCATTCTTCTGTTATACATGTCTTCAGCTGTGCAACCATATGTGGCCTTTGTTGTCATATTTTGAGCTTAATAAAAGACACTTTTTCAATGGGAGACACCTCTGGACTGCAGGCAGGCCAGTCTATCGCCCACACTCTCTCTGATTACGCAGTCATGCTGTTGTGACGTGCAGAATGTGGCTTGGCGTTGTCGTGTTGAAATAAGCAAGACTCGTAAGACCACAATGCATGTTTCTACTGATCATCAGTCCATTTCAGATGAGCTCAAGCCCACAGAAGTTGGCAGTGTTTATGGACATTTTTGATATATGACTTCCTTAACTGGCATTTGTGGATGCGGCAAAGAACAGTGCTTTTTGACAAGGGTCCTAGTATTCCCAAGTCCATGCGGTGATATCCATCATAGAAACATGCTGGTTTTTAATGCAGTTCTCTCTGAGGGGTCAAAAATCACACGTATTCAGCCATAGTTCTCAGCCACGCCCTTTACACAAAAAGAGTTCTCCAAATTCCTTGAAATTTTTTGAAGATATTATGCACTGTACAGGGTGAAATACATATCTTTGCAATTGCTTGTTGAGGAACATTGTTTTTAAACTGGATTATTTTCTGGTGCATTTTGGGCAAAGTGACGAGCCTCTACTCATCTTTACTTATAAAGAACTAGAGCTTTATTGGATGCACCACTTTTCTCAAAGTTTCTCTTCTGTCCCAACTTTTTTGGAATGTGTTTGAGGGGTCAATTTCAGAATGAGTGTATATTTAAAAAAAATAATGAAGTTGAGAATATAAAACACTACATATCCTGTCTTTGTACTGTTTTTGTTCAAATACAGGTCAAAGTAGATTATAAATCACTGTTTTCTTTTTGTTTGCATTTAACTTACTGTCCCAATTGGTTTTGTATTCACAGACATACTCTCTCTCTCAACAGCTCTGCTCCACAGTGTTAGACACTTTGGAACCCATGTGTCCTTGTCCCTCAACATTTGTTTTCGAATTTTACAGTTACATAAATGTTCTGTCAAAGCTGAATGGTTCTTGCAGCAGAAATGTGGCTAATGTCTGTTTTTTTAAGGCTGTCATACATAGGCATTTTTGTCGAACTGTTGTGGGGTGTTGTTATAATCCGGAGGCCTTCTGCCATTGGCTGATTGGTTTTGCGACTTGCCATGAGAGGACATATAAGAGGCACTGTAAACATAGCGTCTCCTGTCAGCATGGCTTGAGCTAGAGGAAAAAAAAATTAGAAATGTGGTGAAAGACAAGAAATAAACATTTGGGCTATACATGCAAAATGAAGTATTGAAATGCAAAGCTTTCAACTCTTGGAAATCACAGTTATCACAGCTAAAGCATGGTGTCATGTCATGAATTATTTCTCTCTCATAACTCATTGAATCAAGTGGAGAAACTGCGCAGGAAGTGCACATTTTAAACTTTCGATCCATACCATATTGTGTTTCTAATATTACTACTAATACCACCAAACTGATACTAACAATTTTCAGTTATTTCAGTTATTGTTAAAATTTCAATTATGGTTCATTACATTCTTAAACAAACTTATAATAATTCATAGACTAAAAAAAACTAGTCCAGACATCTACAATCAGTAAAATAAATTAGGAAAACTTAACATATTTTCATGTGAACAGCGAAGTTACAGATATTTTACCTTTTGCTAATGCCATCGGACAGTGATAAGAAGAACACCATCCCTCCCAGAATACACAGTGCTGATCCCGCCCAGCCAATGAACAGGGCAGCCCCCAATTCATATCTGAGAAGAAACATAACCGCTACTGTCAAGACACAGCTCTTCAGTCTCCTTTATTTTATATAACATAGTGATGGTTAATTCTAGTAATTTTGTGATCAAGTACTCTAACACCAAATCGTACAATCGTTTACTCATGAAAAATGAAAGTGAACAGTGAAAGGTTATTAATTAATAGTAGAAATTTAATAATATAAACAAATCTGTTTCTTTATTGTATGGAAAATTAGTTGGATGCCTTAAAATGAACAAAAAATAGATTAAGAGGAAGGTGTGCTCACTCTATTCAATCTGATGAAAATCTCTGTTTACATGCACCCTACAAGTAATCCCATCCAAAATTACAAGCATGCTTGGAGTACCGCTTGGTGTACATGTTACCATGACAACAAGCATCACGTGAGTCCAGTCAGAGTGAGACGAGCAGCAGTGAGCAGTGCTTGTGTGTTTAATTGCTTTAAAATAATGACAGGCTCAGGAAAAAGCACTTCACATGTTCTTATTAGAGAAGGGACGAGGGGAAGACGTGAAGTCCTGCAACATTCTGAGACCATCCATCCATCCTGCTAACTATTTTTAACTCTTGTAAAGTTTGAAGCATAAACTTTGTCTCCTCTGCAGACCAGTTTTTGGTTCCCGCTATGTTTAGTGTTATTAACTTCCGCTATGACATAAACGCACATGCACAGAATGTACTTAAACTGTCCGACTGGGAATGCAATCAGATACAGGAGTTTAGGTGGCTATTATTCTTCTATTTAAAGGATTATTTACAGGATTACCCACCTCGTTCAATTGAATAGAAACTGTATTCCCAGTGGCGTCAATTGGAATAGACTAGTGCGTAGACTAGGTGTATACATGGACCTATTCTATTCCAATTGAGCTATTAGTAATGTGGCTGCTCTTCTTTATTTGACAGTGAATAGTAAATACATGCAGGACCCTATATGCTGAATTGAAGAAAGTCGCTAAGCCACTGTGAACCACTTTGCTTCAGACAGTTGTTTCACCATTGTTTTGACAGTCACCAGGATTCCAAGAATGATACACTAGCAACACCACTATATCACTGAATTGCAAATGAATTGCATGTACAATTAGATTAGATTAGATTCATAAATTAGATTTGTGAATCGATCAATTTGAAAATGTCAAGCAGTATTTTAAGTTAAATATGAGGTCAGTCACTCATGCCAATTGCTAATATGACCATGATCACATTATGAACATACTTTTGTGCCACAAACATAGGGTCAAAGAACTCGGATGTGATCCTGTGGGCATAGAGGGAGCAGGCAGTCAAAGAGCACAGGCCTGTAACAACAGAAATTGGGTTCAAACCATAATAAGACACTACATTTGTATCATCACTTTCATTTGAATTAGCCTGCGCCATACATGAAGAATCATTTTAGCTGACACAAGTTTTCCCTCAAGACATAGGGAAAGCAAAAGAAAAGAACACTTACCGCTGATAAAGAATTGTAATCCAGCAAAGCATGCAATCCTGGCTTTGACTTTATCACTTCCTCCAATTTTGGTGCATTTCATTCCCACCAGGGCGAAAGCAGTCGCAAAGAAACCAAGACAGACAGCTGAGATCATCAGGCCTCGGCAAACCTGGATATAACCTGCAACAAAAGCACAATTTTCACTCAAAGTTACTTTCACGCTAATATGGAGACCTTACCCACTATTATATCAGATTCATTAAAGCTAAGGTACGATAGCTTTATGAGCATCAATAGTAGTCGTTGGCAAATGATTCATTCTTTTTGAACGAATCTTTTTGTGGAACATACTGAACTGATTCACCTGCAGGATTGTTGTGGTGCCTGAGTGATTCATAGGACGAACTGTCACACAAGCTCCAAATACTCTTTTAGATATTCTTCTTTGCCATCTATGGGTAGGCCTAAGTATTAATTATGATTCTTTTTTATGTTTGAAAGCCAGATGCTTTGATTTTTAATAGAGTTAATTCTCCTTTAAAAGGTTATTTTACAAAATGCTAGGATAATGTTGCTGTTGGGATACGAGTGAGTTTATAGGTTAACTTCAATACAGTCACATCTAGGGCGTTGAATATACTATATATATATATATATATATATTGATATATGATATTATATAGTATATATAGTATATATACTTTATAATATCAATGGTTTGTAGCTGGTAGAACTGTTCAGCTGGGGCCTTGACACACCAATCCTACATCGAATAACCAGCGCAAACTAAGGCTGACTGATGTCGTCTCACTTCTTCTGTTGAAATATTTGTTTTAAAACTTCCATTAAACTGAAAGATGCAGTGCCCAAAAATTTGTAGTAAGAAGAAGAGCCACTGAGCTTTGGCACGATGCTAGATGGCACTCCCGAGAGAGTCTACAATGAATGGATTCCTAAGGAGCTTTTGTGTAAAATTGTAACTCGTAAATGGTCAGTCCTTTTTATACAGGTGAATGCACTCGGTTTCCGACAAAGAAAATCATAAAATATTTTAACGCTGCTGTTTGAGCACTTTTCAGTTCCAGGTACAGAACTTTCTAACAGTGGACCTCATTCGCCAATATCTTTCTGAGTTTTTTCTTACATTTGTTTTTGAGTCCTAAGAAAAAGTCTATGTCACATTCATGAATTGTTTGCACCTTTGTGGCAGCAGCAAGTACTTCATGGATTTCAGGCCCAATTTCCTGCTTAGGTGCTCTGGATGTCAAACAAATCCATATTCACTCTCTTCAAGGAATACTGTTCTACTACAAGCATACGGTATCCATGACAGTAATGATTCTGGTAGACAGTCCATGTCTTTCTGATCAGCATTAACACTTAAAAGACCCTCCAAAGCATAGGACGTTATTTTGGCCTGCTGTGCTCGACACAACTTCCTGCAGACTGAGGACAGTGACTCATACGTGAATTATTCACTGGGAGGGACTGTATCGTCACACTGTCCCAAGAACATGAAAACAAGACCCTGACCTACAGCAAGCCCCTGTGCCATGCACCACCAACACAGCAAGACCAAGCAGCACAAAATTACCAATGTTGCTACTTCAAGTCAGATATCAGCACAGTGTTTTCTCAGTGGGCCAAACTATAAGCAATTTATTCTTGGCCCACACAAGAAAAAACATTACCAAAGCTGCTCTTCAGCTTGTGTTTAAAATTTGTGAAAGGTCCAGTGCCTCCAAACTGGAGGCTTGTAAGTTAAATGCAAGATACATATGTACAAGGCATCTACAGGGGGCTATCAAAACAAAGGGTTATCCAGATGTTTAATGACAGCTGCTAGTCAGTTTGGTGTGCCTTATGAATCACAAATTGGTGTATGATACAGAAGCAGCAAATTATTTCATTTAATGATTTCTTTTTGCAAAAATCTTTAAAACAAAGTGCAATTAAGTGTAATACTCAGTTCCCTCGCAGTATAGTCAGTGCCCTCTCTATATACGCAATGCCTTCTCGGTATACTCAGTACCCTCTCAGTACCCTCTCAGTATACTCAGCGCCCTCTCAGTATACTCAGTGCCCTCTCAGTACCCTCTCAGTATACTCAGTGCCCTCTCAGTATATTCAGTGTCCTCTCAGTATACGCAGTGTCCTCTCAGTATACTCAGTACCCTCTCAGTATACTCAGTGCCCTCTCAGTATACTCAGTGCCCTCTCAGTATATTCAGTGTCCTCTCAGTATACGCAGTTACCTCTCAGTATACTCAGTGTCCTCTCAGTATACTCAGTTACCTCTCAGTATACTCAGTGCCCTCTCAGTATATTCAGTGTCCTCTCAGTATACACAGTTACCTCTCAGTATACTCAGTGTCCTCTCAGTATACTCAGTTACCTCTCAGTATACTCAGTGTCCTCTCAGTATACTCAGTGTCCTCTCAGTATACTCCGTGCCCTCTCAGTATACTCAGTGTCCTCTCAGTATACTCAGTGTCCTCTCAGTATATTCAGTGTCCTCTCAGTATACGCAGTTACCTCTCAGTATACTCAGTGTCCTCTCAGTATACTCAGTGTCCTCTCAGTATATTCAGTGTCCTCTCAGTATATTCAGTTACCTCTCAGTATACTCAGTGTCCTCTCAGTATACTCAGTTCTTTCTCAGTATACTCAGTGTCCTCTCGGTATTCTCAGTGTCCTCTCAGTATACTCAGTTCTTTCTCAGTATACTCAGTGTCCTCTCGGTATTCTCAGTTACCTCTCAGTATACTCAGTGTCCTCTCAGTATACTCAGTTCTTTCTCAGTATACTCATTGTCCTCTCAGTATACTCAGTTCTTTCTCAGTATACTCTCAGTATACTCAGTTCTTTCTCAGTATACTCATTGTCCTCTCAGTATACTCAGTTCTTTCTCAGTATACTCATTGTCCTCTCAGTATACTCAGTTCCCTCTCAGTATACTCAGTTCCGTCTGAGTATACTCAGTGCCCTCTCAGTATACTCAGTGCCCTCTCTGTATACTCAGTTCCCTCTCAGTATACTCAGTTCCGTCTGAGTATACTCACTGCCCTATCAGTATACTCAGTGCCCTCTCTGTATACTCATTGTCCTCTCAGTATACTCAGTTCCCTCTCAGTATACTCAGTTCTCTCTCAGTATACTCTGTGCCCTCTCAGTATACTCACTGCCCTATCAGTATACTCAGTGCCCTCTCTGTATACTCAGTGCCCTCTCTGTATACTCAGTGCCCTCTCTGTATACTCAGTGCCCTCTCTGTATACTCAGTGCCCTCTCAGTATACTCACTGCCCTATCAGTATACTCAGTGCCCTCTCTGTATACTCAGTGTCCTCTCCGTATACTCAAGGCTGTCTTAGTATACTCATAACATCACAAACATTGCACTTTGGCCCCCTAGCTCAAAAACCTTGGGAACCCCTGTTCAAGAACAAAGACCAGCCAACTTTGTTAACGTACAGAGACTGAAAACCAATTAAATACGACCACTTCTTAACTTTATTAACATATGACTAAATCTTTCACAAGAAAGACTAGGGAATGTGATTTAAAGTATATTTCCTTTTTAACGAATATCTAATTTCTTTTCACAAAATTGGATGTCGCTCAAATACTCAGTTGTTTATTAATTAAATGTAAATATTTGTAGTTAAAGTGATTTTATGATCTTGACTAGTCATGACTGATTTGGATGTCTCTGCACCAGTGTGACTGTTGCATACATTTGAAAAGTTACCTACACAGGGGAACATTGGTGACAGTGACTTTTTTCTCTGCCTTTTTCAAAATGTGGATTGCAATGATTTGGTCATGATTCATATCAGATCACACAGTTTACACAGTTTACATGTTTTTGTTACCAATGGCAATAGCTGCACTCTCTAAGGCTCAAAACTATAACAGTCTTGCACTTGGGTTGTGTCAGGAATAATGCAAATGTCAAACATTGAATGTACTAATGTACTAAAGTTAAATCTCATACTTTGGTGCTTTTAGTTTCCACTTTGTGTCATATATATGACTGCACCTTCTAACTCAAACATATGTCCTTCCAAAGTCCAAGAAAGGAGTCGATTAGAATTAGTGCTGCTGTGCACAGCTCATTCTTAACAAATAACAAATAACCATCAGTCTTTAAATTCTAAAATTAGAATGCCAGAACTTTGGTAGCCAAAAACAACATAAAAAGTAAAGTAAGCAATTCCATTGAATGTTCCATGCCTAAGTGGTCAGATTGCAAAGTGATCTACGAAAGGTGATTTAGAGGCAAATAAAAGCTTGATAGTTAACAACGTCAAACAAATATGTACAAAATAGCCTAGAGCTCATGGAAAAATCACATTCAAGCGCTGAGAAATGCTGCTAAACATTAACAGTTTGGGGGTGAAGGAACTGTTCCTTAACCAGGCCGTTAAATTATGCTGATCAGAGTATATTGCAGTTCCCAGAGGTGCTTCTTGGAATGAAACTAATGCAAAGGTGCCAAAACTAGTGACCCCAAACTGAATGCAGAGCTGAGATTTCATTACAGGATGGTATGCTATGTACTTCTTTACCAACATCCTCATTCTTTTTTAAGCCCAATCGTCTAAAGTGTCAATCTTTTTCAGTAATACTTAAAACGCTCTCCCCACAAACACACACATTCCGAAAACTGAATTTAACAGCATTGAATTTACTCAATTCGAAAGTGTACATCATTCCAAATATAACATTTTTGTCTTCCAGTTTACTTACTTTTCATGACCAGTGTGTGAATATAATGTATTTTATTCAAATGGAAACTCTCGTTTGAATTGAGTAAATTCAATGCATCACTATTTTCAGCAGTCCTTCACAGGGAGAAAAAGAGCTGGCTGACCGTCCAGAGCGAGCATGGAAGGGAAGTCTTTGCAGTTGGATACTCCAGTAGAGTCGGTCACGCAAGTCTTCCAGAGGTTGGACCAGTAGGTGGCCGTGGTGATGACTGTGCCATCGATCGAAGACACTTTCCAATAGTCTGTTGGTAAAGTGGAGGAAACCAGCACCCAGCCTGCTGTGGCCACAACAAAGGCCGTTATCTCTGTTGCCATATTACTCATTGCTCCTCTAAGCTTGAGTTCAACTCTCTGCACTTTGAAAAGATCTTCACAGGGGTTCCTCAAAGTTCCTCAGGGTTGCCCAAGCTAAACATGGAAGAGCAGATGGTTAATATATTCTACACCGGTTGATAACCTGTGGGGAGGGTTTTTAGCCACAGTCGTCACAATCTTCCAACAAATGTCCACTCCTGCCCCCTTGTCACCATGGTATCCAACTCAACAACTGACCATAACCAGGAGATAGTCTAAACACGTGTAAGGAAACATGTTTTATATATATGGAGGGAAACTGTATCTGGCTGGTTTGCACTACTTTTATGATCACATGTGGGAAGAAAAAAAGGTCAACATTTTTAATGTACTTGATGTGCAAACCACCAGTGTGTCCATTAAGGCTAAAAATAGCAAGTCGTTCATTAACTATTCAAAATAGTTTCTAAAACCAGGGCAGGAGGAATGTGGAAAAAGCTCAGCCTTGAGTAAAAGCCTATTTTTTTCATACTGAGATTATTACTGTTGCTTGGTTGGATTATTTACCATCATTTGCAAAGTTTTGAACACCCCAGGTCAAATGATATATTTTGTTGATTTTCTAATTGTCAATAAGTTAACACACCCTCTACGGAGAACAAACTTAAATGAAAAAATCAATCAATTATTCAAAACTTCTGCATATTATATCTGTTAAGATGTATACAGAGTCATTCAGAGTGGTTTGGTGTGAAATGCTCTGTTCTAGAGAGTTTTACTGAGTCAGAACTGTTCACAGTGGTGGTGATAGGAACCAGGCATCCACTTTTAAAAGCTCCCTCACAGAAAGTTACTACATGGAATGGTTATGAATTCACTGCCCGAGACATTGTTTTATAAATGCCAAATCGGGCACATGACAAAGCAGGTATTGTAATGGATGGGGTCACTGACTCATTTAATGTGCAATAAAAAAAATCATAAATGTCTATACATAAAAGAGTCATTACACAATGTACAAACTGTTGAGCCAAAATTAGAACCATACAGTTGAATACCTGCTTCAGGTGTGTTGCGAGCTAGAATGCAGCAAAACTATGGACCATCTGGGGACAGTGAGGGTTGAGAATTTCTGTTCTAAGTGACTACAGTTGTAAAAATGCCATAGGAGAACCACTTTTAGTTCAATAAAAATGTTTAATTTATGATTCCCTAGAAACATTTTTCTACATTTGGTAAACATACACAATGCAAAGGTGCAATACTTTGTTTTATGATAGTTTTGGTTTTTGGCATAAAAACATATTTTTAAAATATACTCATGGTGGAGGGGTACATGCAGGATGCAAGGCAAACTAGTGCCCAATAAAACTTTATTTTTCAAATTTATTTTTCAACAAAACATCACTAGACCAGGGGCGCCCAAACATTTGCATTCAACTGTACATATAATCAGATAATTAATTTCATATATATGTAAGGAGTCACATTTACACTTAATTCACATTCCATACTGACAGAATCAATCCTGCACTTCTGACTTCTGGCAAAATGCAAAGGATGTTTTTTTTCTTTCTACAAAACAGGAGAGTCTACAACAATAACTTTCTTTCATATTCAAATTATAATAAATATTTATAAATATTTATTGCTGTTGCTGGGCAGTTGCTATGGTGTTCATAGTGGTTGCTAAGAGGTTGCTAGTTGGTTGCTATATTTTTCGTAGTGGTTGCCAAACGGTTGCTAAGCAGTTGCTATGGTGTCCGTAGCGTAGTGGTTGTATGCAAATGTATGAGAATGACCAAAAAATGTGTTTGTTGAATATATATGGATAATTAGGCTTTTCTTATTTGACAGTGTGCCATAGTGCTGTTTCTGAGGTGCTTGTTTAAATGTAAGTAAACCAAAAGGGTCAGTGCTTTAGTTGTGGAAGGTGAACCTGGACATGACATAATGTGGGAAAAATCCTGGTCTGAGGAAGGACACCAGACTCGCTCTCCACGTCAAACATACCATTCTTGCATCAACTGATAACACTCACAGGGCCTCGACAGCAGTGGAATCGGGGAATCATTGGGGATGTTTAACTAAAAGTTAGTTACTTTAGAATGTCAAATCAGTCACATGACAAAGCAGGTAATGTAATGGCTGGGGTCATTGACTCATTTCATTACATAGAAAGAGTCACAGCATAATGTATATAATACGCACATACGTATATAATGTGTGATAGGATGCAGCAAAAACGTGGACCATGCAGGGACCCTGAGGTCAGGGTTGAGAACTTCTCAGTGATTACACTTGTAAAACTGCCACAGAAGAACCCGTTTTGTAATGGATAGTTCTTTAGAGAAACATTTTTTTTTTACATTTTGTGAACCTCCAATCAATGCAAAGGTTGAAGAACTATCAAACTGGTATAGAACCTTTACAATATATGACAGTTCTTCACAACACAAATCTCTTTCTCAGTCGTGTGGTGCTGCTGGTGCACTGTTAGAAATAAAGGTTCTGTGCAGGTAGATTTTTTGTTCATCAAGGTACAAACAATGTAAATGTTCCCTCAAAGGTCCAACAGTGGTTTTAAGGTCTGATTGTGAACCTTAAATAAGTTTTTCCAGGTGAAAAGTATGTATTTGTATCTTTTTATAACCCGAATGTTTTAAAACAGAACAGTAAAATAAAGTCCTGGAGACGAGACGGGGTGTGTGGAGTCAGTACAGCTTAGAACATATCATTTCAGTGGATTATGGTTCAGTTATGTTCCCTGACTAAAGGTACTGAGATGTACCCTTGAGGGAACCTCCCCAGTGACAAGAGGGGTACTGCCAAGGTGACAGTTTAGTACCTTTATTTCTGAGAGTGTGGCATTGCTCAATGAACCCTTTGCAGCACCTTTGTAATGTATATGATTCTAATGTTGTTCCTCCCACAGCTTTCATCAAAATGTTTTGATGCTTTCTGCCTCAGTTTCAGTCGCTGAGTCTGAGCAACTAAGAATTGCATGTTATATCCAGAGATCCAAGAAACTATGGAGTAACTTAACCATGCAGGGTGGTGGTGGGGGGCGGGGCTTAATATAAATCTAGTACAAATGAGATATGGTTTTATATATATATATATATATAAGATGTACCACTGGAATCTTAAAAGACCAGAAGCTTGGTTTCAAATGTGAAAATTGAGTATTTATGAATCTGATATGCAGTGCAGTAATTTGAGTGGGAATTCATCATGAAGACTTGGTGTGCACAAAGCCTCCTGCCTTGAAGTTTAGTCATTTCGAGTCATTCATTACCTCTATGACATCAACGGAAAATGCCATGTTAGCCGGCCAGCCTGTATCTTTGAGTTCAGAGAAAATGGCATATTTTCCTATTGATTGTAACCAATCAGCCTTAGATTTGAAGTAATGAGTTTAACAGTTTGGCTAAATAGCACTGTTTGACATTGATGAGACACAAGCAAGGAAGGAAATGTGCTGTTGTGTGTGCTGATGAAAAAAAAAAGTATTTTCACCTGTCAGATTCACTCATCTCCACTGACCTTGGGTCTGCAGGTTGAGTCAGTTCTATTTCAGCATGGATTACAATGTATTTGAAATACATTAAAAATATATAATATATAAAAATACATGTATTAATACATGTCCATATATTTTTCCCATACAGGGTTAATACAATAAATAGTGATTAACCCCTTCCATCCAGGCTTTTACATACTAGGGCTTATTATTCATTAACTACAGGGACTTCAATGTGTTTAAGTGTGTTAATGTGTTTGCTTAACCATTTCAAAGCCTCTCCCTGAGGAAGCCTAGTATTATTTGTTGTTATCATCAAATACCTGGTTTGGCTAATCAGTGCTTCATTATGTTAAATCAGGCATGGAGATGAAATTTAACACTTCAGTGGCTTACTGACTTGAATCTTTCGAACAGTATGGGGTTTATGGAATAACCAAAGTTTAGGAGGAGGAGCATGCCTGAACCCCTCCTCCTTCCAACCGAATGCCCTATAAACACATCCTCACCCTCCATTTCCTGCAACGAAGTTTTTGCAAGTTTTCTGTTACTCTACTATGTCAGCCCTACCGTACTTACAAGGAGGGTCCGGCCTTCTAGCAACAACCAGAAGCCGCCCAGAACTCAAGCCCAAGTTCTAAGAGTTCTCTCCCCTCCCTCAACCAGTGTTCCCCCCACACTACCACCACATGGTGAAGGCACAATCCAAAAAGTGTCTCTTGAAATGCTCTTGAAATTCTAGATTCTATAAAATCTATATACATGTGGAGCTAAAACTGTTCCATATTCATCTTATTAAGATTACATACTCCTGTGAGTCTGTTCAATATATGCACTGTCACTTTAAGACACTGTGGCTTTTGCCAAAGTTATTATAGGAAAGTCTGTCCACTCAGCCGCTGGGCAGCTATTTCCAGCCATATAAGATCACACTCCTGCCTGTTTGAAAGGTGAGAGACCACTTGAAACTCACGGTCAAATTACTGTTTCAAAAAACCACTGATAAAATCAGACAAAAATCTTATAAAAAGTTTGTAGCGTTTGGCTTAAATAACACACACACAAAAAATGTTTTATTCCAGGTTGTTCTGGCCGCTATGCTTGTGCAGATCTCCCCAGCTGGGGGGAGTGGGGGCATTCCCAGCAAGCTGATTGACTCTTTTTTTGAGGGGGGTACTTTTCCTGTAAACAGATGCCATGCTGAGTGTTACAAGCTCTCCCATTTAATTTCCATCCAGTCTAACCCTTCATAATGTCTCTGGTTTGACTGTCGTTGTTGTGAGTCTCTCAGTGTACACTCTGTGGGTGAATTGAGAGGTGGCTGTTGTCTGCTCTGTGAAATAAGGGAATTTGTAACTCTACATAGATATTACATACAGTCATATGAACATTTATTAGAGTTACATGAACATGATGTGGTTGTTCTGTTAATGTATAGTCGTAATGTTATATTAAGTATAGTCATATGCAAATTGTTGTGTTGTTTTTGTTTTGTACATTTTAATGCATAATCACTGTTTTGTGTAATTTAACATATTGGGGAAAAAATGTCTAAAAGTTGTGATATATTTTATATTCTATGTTCTCTTTTTCTCTAAGCTGTTATAATAAATGAATGAAATAAGATTTATAATATAATATAATATAAAATAATAAATAAATAAATGATTAAAGTTTGTTCCATGTAGAGGATTGAGAATAAAAAACATGTAATTAAACCTAAGCTTTTTAAACTTTTGTGTATGACTCTATTAGGTCCATACTAATATGGTATACT